AGCTACTCCGGTTACCTCATGGGGGACTTCCCGATAAGCCCATAAAACCATTGGGATCAATTTGTCCCAATTCTTGGAGTCTCTTTGAATGACATGATACAACATGTTTTTGAGTACTCGGTTCCACCTTTCTACAACTCCATTACTCTCTGGGTGTTCTGGGGTTGAAAATCTTTGCATGCAACCTAATTTCTCCAGCATCGTTTGCGTGAGCTGCGATTTGAAATTAGTGCCCTGATCGGAGCAGATCATCTCCGGAACGCCTGTGCGACTGAATATCTCAATCAGTGCATCACAAGTCGCCTTAGCTGTCAAAGAGCGCAGTGGGATCACCTCTGGCCACCTTGTGCAAAGATCCACTAAGCAAAGTGCGTACTTATGCCCTCTCGCTGACGGTGTGTCTAGGGGTCCGATCACATTTACATTGACAACTTGGAAAGGGTGCTCGGGTCTAGTGAGCGGAGTTATAGGCACTTTATTCGTGCGACGCTTGTCTGAACGAATTTGACATTCATGGCACGAACGACAATGCTCTAATATCTCCTTCGCCATACCCGGCCAAAAAAAATTATACCTAATGCGAGCTTTTGTTTTCTTTGACCCTAGGTGCCCCCCCGCATAGTGACTCGTGTGCTCAGTGCGCTTATCTTTGGGGACAACTAGCTGACTCACTCGAGTGCCTGCTATTGAGTCGCAGTGGTATAATAGTCCGTCTGAAATAAACATGCCGGATTTCCCACTACGCGCATCTTCCCAACTTTTCTTTAGCGTAGTGTCACCCAACTGCACATTGCGGAACTCTACTCTTTGGCCTAATGACGCCTCCCTTTCTCCATCAGTTTGCGTCTCTTCCCCGGAATCATCTTTCTCCTCCAAAGTAAGATTGCAGGCAACTACCTTTTGTTTCTCTACTGCTCGTTCCGCCTCGTGAGCAGGCTCGGCCGGCGCTCGACAGGGTGCCAGAGGGCTGCTGGCCTTCAACAAAAGCTTCCAATCGTCCTTGGTCAACAAACAATCTGTGCCCTCGACGAGTTCATCAGTTAACGCGCAGAGTAGGTCAACGTTCTGAGGCTCCGTAACCTCTCGCGGGCTATTTAATTTGACCGGTAACGTAGCTAGCCTTGCCTCGATAGTTTTACCGAAAGCGGACACCAATCTTACCGTGCCAGACGGCTCTAACCACACTTCGCGGAAGCAGACTCTCCGGATGACGGTTATCTCACTCCCCGTATCCAAAATCGCGTTTGCGGATATGCCCTGCACATGATACAGGAATTAACTGCAGTTTATCTGTGCCTTCACCCTCGTGTTTCAGAGACTTCACCTTTGCGCTAAGTACTCCAGTAGGTATTTCAGTATCCGTCTCGTGGGATAAACGTTACCTTTTGAACCTTCCGCTTTGGCTCGGTAGCCTTCTTGGGGTTGTTCTCCTTATCACTAGCCTTCGGGCACTCTTTAGCGAAATGGCCTGAGCCGTGACATAAGTGCCATTTCAGAGCCCCTTTCTCAACTCGCGTCGCCGGCTCTGCCCCATTTCTACAGTTGGTTGCTTTGAAGCACGCCCTTCCCTTTCGCTTGTTCGAAAGTTTGGAGCACTTTCGCGATCTCAGTTGGCCTAAACCATCCCTCGCCTTCCCTTAATCTCACATACTCAAGACCCTCCGTACTAAGGCCCGATTTTATGCGGTCAGCAACCATGAGTTCTGCCATCACTTCTACCGTGTCGGCTTCTCTCACTTGAAGGTAGTATGAGAAATAAGTTTTCAGGCGGGACGCGAACTGCGCCCACGTCTCTTCCTTACGCTTTACTGCTCTTTCGAACCTCTGCAGGTCAGGTACTCTGCCGGAGAAAGCTTCAGTTCCGTCAGCACTGCTGCTTTAACTGACTCATAATCTGCACTCTCTTCAGGGTTGAGGTTACGCAGTAGGTAACAGACTCGCTCAGTTAGCGCTGGCATAACCAAATGCACGCGGCTCTCGTGCGGTACCTGGTAAGTAGCAAAAAGTTTTTCTACTTCCTCAAACCATAATGGGACATCCGCGTCACTCGGCAGGCGGAACCCTTTTAGCACTTTTGCACATTGCTGAACAGCATCGAAACCCCGGCGCCTCTGATCACCCGTCTCCGACCTAGAGTTGGACAACGTGCCATTGAGACGTTCCGCGTTCATTCTAGCCTGCAATAGCTTTTCGTACTGAATCTGAAGATTGAGCTTTTGAATTTCAAGCTCGAGCGTTCTCGCTTCGCTTGATTTCGGCAAAACCTGAGATGCCTGCTGCATCGATTCCTGCCTCTGAGTAAGCACTGTCGCCTCATTTGACTGATCAGAATTTTGAATACCATCATTGGATGGTTCTCGACTCCGATTCCCATCTGCCGCACTCGTACCCTCATCTTCATTAGACTCCATTGTTTTAGCACTCCCGCGTGTTCTCACCATGTGCTCTACACATAAACTGCCATGCCAACTAGAGAAGAACGCAAGAAATCCTGCTCACCCTTTGCTGTATGCACTGTCGTTCCTGGATCTCCTCCACGGTGCCGGCGTTGGCTGCTGTGGGAGCGTCTCGACTTTGCCGCTGGTGGCTGTTGGATGCCTTGCCCCTCGGTCCTCTCAGCGCTGGTCCAGTGTATGGTGCTGCAGAGCTCGCCGATCCCTGTCGACTGCGCCAGTTAAGTTTTCCTTCTCGTTCGTTGATCTCCTTGATGTGGATTGAAGTCCCATCAAGGAGATGATCGGCGTCGATGAAGCAGGAGGCAGGTTGGAGGTAATGAAAACTTGAAGGTATATTACAGCGAAATATTTACAGTCATATGTACATCTTGCCGAAGCACACTCATGATAACACAGACATCAACAGCGTCTTACTCTTCTACTTAACTTTTCTTAAGTTAGAGCCTAGAACACTGTTACTACATACAACGTACTTAGTCTCACTGTTCGACCACCAAGTGGTTACGGCCCAGACAAAAGTTGCATCGTACGGAGTCGTACTGATCTATCAGTTAAGTGATTGCAGCCTCGACTGAAGAGAAACGGATTCCCTCCAGTCTTAAGCATCTTGCGGTAACAAAGAAAAAGGGGAGGGGGCCACTGCTGGTCCGCCTCGACATTCTCTCATCCAATCTGTTTCCACTAAGATTAAGTCACTCCCTACTGGGCTGACCTTACTCTCGACAGCAGCGCTTCTACAGTTTAAACAGGCGTTTTGGTACTCTTTCCCATCATGTCTCTCTCTCTCTCCACCTCCCACGCGCTCCGGAATTCTAACGCTCGGGAGATATCGGCATTGTAGACCCGGTACATTCATGCCCTTTCCCACACCCAGCGAGCCGAGACGAACCTCCTAAGCCGGAAATTGAATGATTGCGCGCGGAACGTAATTGCCCCCGCAGGTAGCAAGCGGCCTTTGACGTTCTCCGCTTACCTTGTGCTCAGGTCGTGCATCGCTGCGAATTTGAGCCGATCGCCAGAACAGAGCGTGTCGCCTACTCCCACTGAGCTCGCGCCCGGCAGCCGAGGCAGGACGGGGTCGCTTAATCCCATTGTGCGTTTGCCCCCGGCAGCGGCGACTTGTCTCTAAACCACAAACATTCCAAGCCGGTTGGCAAAGCGGGTTCGTTTCACATTGTGTGTTTGTCCCCAGCATCGGAGGAGACGGACGTAGTTTGCATCCCAGAGGATAAGTGGTGTATAGTTACACAGGCATACCGAGAGAGAGTCGAGAAAGAAGCTTTGTATAACGTAGCTTCCCGCGCTGTCGTCCCATGCTCACAGGAAGCAATTTGCGACCTTGCCGAGAGAGATCCGAGAAAGAAGCTTTGAATAACGTAGCTTCTGGTGCTGTCCTATCCGCACGATCAACTTATGAGCGGCAAAACCTAACAACGGGCTTACCACATTTCCGCCTTCATCGGAAATGCAGCCGCCGCAGCCGGAATTCGATCCCGCGACCTTCGGGTCAGCAGCCAAGTGCCTTAGCCACTAGACCACGGCGACGGGGCAAACCTTAGAGTACAGTAGACTTTCATTAAACTGAAATCTGTTAAATGGAACTGCTGCTTAAATGAAACAGCTGCCTCCAGCACAATTAGTTTCACATTTGGATTCTCCACCCTTGATCATCTATCAGTAAATAAAACTCCTGCTAAATGGAACACATTCTCCTGGTCCCATCAGGTTCAGTTTAACGAGAACCTAGAACTATGTTGCCTGAGAATACACGGAACATTATTTTAATACCACTACCTTAAAGAACACTTTCGATTTCAATATCAAGGGGGCGGCTTCTGACTGACAGGTCATGGCGATGTGACGTAATGGAGAGACAGGAACTCGCAGCGTATTAGTGGCAGATCTGTCATCTCCTAGTGGTGCTCGTAGACAACAAGTGAATTATTTTCCAGTGACTTCGAGTGATTTCAGCTATTTATGCTGCGTGCAACAGGCAGAGTTTGCAAACATCAGTGGAACTGTGTAAACTCAAGGGAATAATGTCTATTGTGGCGAGGATGAGTTGCTGATTTTCAGTGACTAAAGCATTAAAAGCAAAGTAAAATATTTTACACGTGCTGTCTGATCCTAGTCTGTGGAGAGCATTAACACTGCATACCAAGGAAATAAAAAATATCCCTTTTACAATGTCTCGAAATCGTGTCAGTACTCCTTTAAAATGTGGTCTGTAAATTGAGCAAGTGCCCCAAAATGTATGTAAAAAGCGAATTCTACAGTGGAAATATCAAAGATAGGCAGTCTGCATGAGCTTATATATTTCAGTTTTACTGTATGCCAGTACACCTAATAAAAGCCCTGATGAGTGTCTGGTACAGCTTTGTAGAAACTGTGCACACAGGTGAAATAAAGCGGACTTGCGAGATCAGTGTATCTTTGCCCCGCCTCATTTGTTTCACCAGTATGCAGTCCAAAGGGATATGTTACATCACAGAATGGGACTTGCTAAGTTTGCATGCGAGTTTGCAACCAAGAAAGGAAACTTACGTTTTTTATGAATGTCGTCCTCAGCATTTGCCATATCGAATAGAAAAACGAAGCAAATGCTTCCAGTTGAATACGCAAGACTGTCCATATCTCGGCTGAGCTAGAGTAGAAGTGCTTGAACCTGCATACAAGCAATTGCTAACATGACCATCCTTAAAATAAAATGCCTCTTAAACAAGTCGAAGTACACTTTAAAGAAAAACATCTATGAGAATAAATTATCCTAATAACTGTATGGTTCAGAGACCTTGATATAGTTTTCAGAAAGATGAAACAGCACCTTGTGGGCATGAAGTTTTGAACAGAGATCGACTTACTGGTGATTTCGGAGTTTACGATGTCACGTGAAGCTTAATGACACATCTTTAAGCTTAGGCTGTGTCTAATGGAGATATTAGTTCCTTGAACCATTCGCCTTTTTCCATGCCTTGGTTCACCAATACTGATACGACATAACCATAAACATGAACCTTAAATGCTTCATCGCTTCATCATTTAATCAGATTGTGACGCATTGCCAACCAAGCATAATTAAAGATACTTAAACTCTGGGGTACCAAAAATTAATGCCACTCGCAACCAGGTGCATTCTCGTAAATCATTCAGGCTGGCCAGTAATGGTGGCAGTTACACCTGTTGGGTTCCACATTCGTGATGTAAACAAAAATCACCCTACACAAAAAATGCCTACAGTAACTCTTAAGAAGAGTTTCCCGAATCTTTTCAGGCAATTGGAATTTTTTTTTCTTTTTCAATACTAGTAAAACCTACAATAATTACAGCCGTTATTTATTGCAGAAAATACTGAACCAAACTTCTCAATGATAACAATCTGTGACGTTTGATGGTGCAAAGAGCCCGATTTTTCCACAGTGCCAATGCAATAGACAATATTTAGATTCTAAAATTAAGCGTAATGGTTCGTGCCTAACATTATACAGACATACCCAGCTTAGAATATGTATAATAAAGCAATACATAACTATTACTGGCGCATATACTTTGAAAGTGAAAAATAGTAATGTGGTACAAGTTCAAAAGGACAAGTGTCAGATAGTAGCAAGAAAGAAGTTCAGGGGAAGACGTGAGATTGCAGTGATAAGAATAACAATTAAGTAGTACGACATCCTATAACCATATGTCCTCGTTTTGATTAACCACAAGTACCTGAAGGAATCTGAGGTGAGTGCGCTAACGCACAGAATCTAATATATTGCGTACCTCCATAATTGCGTAACTTTGAAGGCGATGCAGGAAACACCCCGCTACAGCGCTCCTACGAGTTAAAGAAAAATAACTTGTTGCGTTTTCCTTCCCGGCGCACATTCAAAGCAGTTCAATGCAGTGCGCTCGAGCAACAACACTACTCGTGCAAAACAAATACGAAAGGCTAATCCTGAAAGGGTGTGTCGCCTGCAACAGTACGGAGTGCAAAACGCAAACAACGTAAACAGAAGCGAAAACCCCGCTAATTCACAGTGGTATATGTTCTACAGGCTCGAGTGTTGCTCGTGCTATCTGTAACCTCCCGTGCGTCTCAAAAGCAGTTCACAAGTCGTAAACGCCGTGCAAGCTGCAGAAGACTTTCTGAGCACCGCACGACAGCCGGTACCTCGGCGGATAGCCCACGCAAAATTTAGCTTAGCTCTAACAAAACCTTTCACATTCTGCATGAACACCGACAGCTCTTCTAGTTGAAGTCATACTTATGCACGATTGCTATGACAGCGCAATAAAATGTTTTTGGAGTAAAGGAATAACGTACCGTTATAAATACAGTTAGTACCTCCTGATCGGTGAATCGTCCCAGCACCTCTTCGTCTAAAATCGACGATTCCGAACACTCGTCACGACTAAAAAGACACTTTCTCACGAACCTCACGGCGAAGTGAAAAAACGCGACTTCTAGCCAGCCGAGCACCGCAGTTGTATCACTGCAATGAGCCGTGCATAGGGGCCCGGCGCAGCATGTTTCGTAATGCTAGCTGCGCCCGCCGAGCAGACAAACAACAGCGAAAGTTTTTATTTTGTAGTCTGGCGGCGCGCTCGCGCGCTGGCGACATTGACCTTCGTTTGGCGTGTCTGGCGCTAAGTACCTAGACTAGGCACTAAGACGAAAGGAAGAAACCTAGTAGTAACCGAACCTATTTAACAAATCCCCAGACACTGTTAAATGGTCGCCAGAACCTCTCTCACTAACTCTCCAGGGAGAAAAGGAAGAAATGGAGGAAATGATAAATGAATTACTAGAAAGATAAACATTCAGCTCGCGAGCTCCATCGGGAAGGGGACGAGAGGAGGGAGAGAGAGGAAATCAAAGGTATTATGCGCACGCAATTAAGAAACGACGCGTTTACGCATAAACTTTTCTCTTTTTATATATTTTATACACTACAATTAGTAACATATGCCATATCATTTATGAGCGCTTTGATTACATACCTTATAGCGCAAGCTGTACTAACAAAGTTGTAGAACTTGCTAAGGGTTGAGGAACACCCCGCAGTTCATGAACAAATTAAGTGGTTCTTTCTTCAAAAGCAATCAAAACTTGCCAAGTGGTGTTGGTGTACATATCTGTGCCAATATTGAAATGTTGTGAATTGTTGTCTTTCAAAAACGATATAAAGCCCACAAGCCTAAAAAAGAGAATGAAACTGTTTCAGTCTACCCTAGCAAAAATTCTGATAGAGGTCTGTATCAGTCTGATACAGTTTCCTATAAGTTGTACCAGTCTTGTACCAGACTGATACAAAGTCTTACCAGTTCTTATAGACATTCATATCAGTCTGATACAATTTCTTACCAGTGCTACCAGTCTCATATCAGACTGATACACAGTCTTACCAGTGCTACCAGCTTTTGAATAAGTTTGATTGGTCATTTCTATGGCATATATTAGTCTTTAGGTTTTTAGTCTTTTGTTCATTTATCGGATCTTCAAGATGCATTACTGTCATTTTAACGGTACTTCATTTTTTGAACACACTGCCCACATATATGTCATTGGTTATTTCTGCATGTATATTAGTGTATCAGTGTTTTCTATTGAACACTTGACAACTATTGTGTGAAATATTATGATGACTCAAAGAGTGCAACTGGCAGCTTTTAGATGCGTAGAATAAAATGTACAATGTTTCATGGTGGTGCATAATTGACAAACTGAGCTTTAAATATGCAAAGCAGCTTTCAGCCTAGATGAACGCTTTATTCTGTGTACAAATGGGATTGCAGGTGCCAGATAGCAGCACAGTTAATGCTGACAATGATAGATGACCCCTAGAAATTTCAAGATACTAGTATCCAAAGCTTATCAGATGACAGTATAAACATAACTTGAAACAATACAAACCAAACTTCTCATCACAGAGCAATATTAACATAATTTCTAAATTTTAATTTATAGGGCCAGTAAACATTCCAAGGGAGATAACTTAATAATCAGTCCACTACTGTGAAATGAGCTTGCTGATACAATAATTTTTCCAAGCGGCATTGATTCGAAAGCCTCGGGTGGTGCTGCAGTTTCTCCCTTTCACAACACAAGCCAACCCCAGCTGTCTCTCCCACATAGTGCTTTGCCTTTAATGACGAGCCACTACATTAGTGTCATAATCCATACTGGATGAGATAATTTAAATAAACAATGAAATGCTTCTTTGAGTAATCATTAATTGACCTCATCATCAAAACTTAATGCCTCGCATATCCACTGCCAGAAATATTTCAAAGCAAGTGAGGATTTTATTGCGCACTTCAATCGCTTTCTTTTTTTTTCTCGTCGGTCCCAACAAGCTGCGCCGAAAACCTACAGGGAGGAATGGCCAGTAAAGAAGTGCGATATTGTAAGCACACATTATGAGCTAGAGCATGCTGAAGAAACACCGTAGCTTTTTCGTGTGCCATTCCCATGTGCGAGTGTGACTATGCAATGTTAGATTTTGGATCAGCAGTGCCAGCATGTGGCAGCACACTGTGGCAAGAAGCCACATTCGATTAAAAACGCTGCTCTTGATTTTATTTTGGCTATAGGCCAATAACATGCTTTCAGGTGTTTTACACCACATACAGGCATCCAAAATTCGAAGTGAGCACAGTATCTATATGAAAAAAGTAACTTGCAGCTGCAACATGCTATATTACTTGCCTGTAACCTCACAAGATTGATAAATCAAAACCAGTACTACTTAAGGCTAAAGCATTTGACTGCAAAACACACACGTGCACGCACACACAAGAAACTGCCTACCATGAGGGAAAAGTTCAGTGTGTGAAGAGAACAACAATAGAAAGGATCGAGCCTACATTTAGTGGTCCTACCTGCAAACTCATATTAGACTGGCTATAATATGTCACAAGTTTTAACAAGTTTGGTACATCAGCAACGTAGCAAACACATCCAACTTTTATGTGCAAACACACTGGCCACATCTTTCAAGCACAACTTTTTTTCTCTGTTTCTGAGCAAATACCAATGGGACATGGGTTCTTGAATAATTTTGATGTAAGCCTCACACACATGAGCACACACACAGAGCCTGGCAGTTTATTGACATGCACCAGTGTAAAATACATGCCATTGTTGCATTTAAAAAGTGTCGCTCATGCCGACATTGTCGCGAGCCGCATCTGCAGTCCGGTCGGAATCGCTGAGCGAGTTTTCCTCGAAGCCGTAAGTGTCGTCGGGATCAGGATTTTCATTGCTGTCACCATGCGCATCACTCAGACTTCACGTGTCGAAGGCCGCTACTCCAAAACATCAATTACCAGCTAAAGACTGAGATGCTCTTGCTGAGTGTAGCTGGTTGGCCGAATGCGCCTCCACCGCTCCTTGTCCGAGGTACTACATATTGCGATCCAGGCTCCAAATAACGTTTTTTTTTCTTCTTTTTGATCGAGGCTGGGGTTGAGTTGAATCCATCTCTCGTCGAACTTGAAACAAACTTCAAATAGCGCGCTTGATGGTGTCCACGCAAAGTGAGGCTGCGGCACTGATAATAAGTGAACGGGTAAAGATCGATTACATCGACCAAGGCTTCACATTCACAACCTGCTTGCTGTGCCTTGAATGTTAAGCACGCGGCGCGGATTTCGCCGAAAACTATAACATGTGCCGCGAGATCACGGCGCGAGGTAGTGACTCTTCAGAATCCCTCGCGTGGTGAAGGTGTATTGTACTGTGGGCGCCACGGAGGAAGGTGTTTGTCGCCATGGTGGTCGCTGACTGCCATTATGGCTAGATGATTGTAGCCATATTAATGTGATAGATAAATGGATGAATGAATTGATATGGCTGTACCCTTTAAGTTGGGCGGCGGCTAACACCACCTAGCCTGACCAACGCGAATATGGCGACACAGCGCATGACCTCTGAAATTGCCGCTGCGCGCCCGTCATTGTGCGTTTGCCATCTTGGAGGCTATGCACAACGTCACCATTTCACAGTAATTGCATTCATTGTTTATATATTGTTTGCTGTGAGCTCTAAAAAAAACTACCCTCTAAGGTTGTAAAAACATGAAGTAAATGTTTTGCAAATAAATATTTTTGTTTTCAAAAACTAAATTGCATAGTGTTGAGGAAGAAGTCGTGGACTCGTGGTTGCATAAACTACTTGGGAGATCCAGAAATGGCACTGCCATCGTCATCAATAGCAAGTTCGTGGCAGTCTTGGTGCGTGTGTAGTGCATGTGAACATTGTTGCGTCTCCTAATTGCTCAGTATCGTGCCTGTACACTCGCAATTCTCCAAGATGTTTGGTTTCGCGATGATAATCAAAAATTAGTAGTCCCGGTAAGTGCATGTAAGTACATCAATTCGAAGTATACAGGCAATTTTGATCCTCACAAGTGGTACCGGGTGTTCTGGAAGGATAACACACACTGCGGCCACTATCACGCTCAAGTGATTAAGCTTTACGGTAAGTCCGCGCCTCTTGTATTCCCTATACGAAAACAAAGAGGAAGAGGCAGTCGTTCTGAAGTTATTTACTGGTCATATTTTCTTAGGCACCGAGGATGATGCAAGGAATGCAACAGAAAAACGACCATCCATTCCGCAGACCCGATTGCGACTCCTCCGATAGCTGCAGTTCAAAAGAACTGGACAATGAGTCGGCTAAAAAAAGTAAGTTGCAATTGGTCACACTGCAGCTGATATGCTACTTGCAGCGTAATTATTACCGACAGCCAAGTTTGGCTATCGTTGACAATGCGGCTGATGTGCTACTGCGGCGCAATTACAATCGACAGCCAATTTTGCTCTGCACGTGGTGCCGTGTCACACATGAAGCACCAATGCTCTGATATACTCCCCGCCCCCTTAGCGAATATATCAGAGCATCGCTGCTCCACTACTGCGCGGGCGCCGGAACGTCGTATTGAAGGTGTTAGTAAAGTTGCAGTATGCTGAAAAGCGATTTTATTTTATTCTATCGTGGTATGAGCGCAGCTTAGTCACATTTTTTTGTACAATTGACTGGTTTAAAATTATTTTTGCTTGTGCGGATATACGCCCTGTTTGTGCTTGCGAACTAGCAGTTAAATTTGTGTTGGGTTGTCTGCAGTAGTAAGAAACACGACGTCAAGCTGCTGTTAGGCAGAAGACAAAGCACGTCAGCAACCGTTTTAAAAAGCAGCAGGGAGGCCTGCTGTTTGCTAATGCTGAAAAAAAGAACAGAGAAAGAGCTTCTGAAAGAAGTGAATATATAAGCTCAGGGCTTAAAATACAAAAGCATTAAAAAGAATAAGCCTACTGGAAAATGCCCTTCGCAGGAAAAATTTCCGAACAGGTTTATCATTTTTTCATAAGCTGTTGTAACGCACTGCTGCTGGGTTGTATGCAGCAGCAAGTTGCCCTATTCTTATAGCGTGCAATTTTGCTGAAAAACAGAATGCAAAGTAAGCTCATGGGTGGCATAGATGCATGCATGTTTTTCTAATCACTTGAAAATGTGCTTTTACAACTTTCACAGTGTGGTGGATATTAAAAAGAACACCACTTGGTCAAAATTTCTTGAGCCCTCCACTATGGCATCCCCTATAATCACACCATGATTTTGAGACGTGGCATGCTATGTTTATCATATATAATATTTGACCATGCACACCTAGGATGGTACCGTGACAATTAAGGGTGCAATATACTTTATTTCTACACACTCTACTTTTTAATTGCAGCAAAGAACCTTGTCCTTTGCGGGTGTTGCAGTCGCAAGCCTCAAAAACAGAAACGACTTGCACCTTTGCCACCACTATGTGCTGCCACGCTGGAACCGCCACAGCGACCACGGACAGCCCTGAAGTAGCGCACTCAAGTGTGAGGGAGGCTGCACTGCTTATCAATTATGTGCCCACTGACAGAGAGGTATTATAAAACTCTAGTATGCTTTGTCTTGAAGATATATTGCTTTGCTTTAATGAGAAAATGTGCATTGACAAACTAATCTGTGCACATCATCTTTGACTTGTTTTGTAGGTGCATCGGAGCAAAGAAATTGCCGTTCCCAAGAGGTTGTACAATCACCCCATGGGCTTGAAAAGACAGACCCGTTTTGTTCGTGAGGTGGCTGTTACCATTTTTTATACAGCAGGCCAAGTCGGTAGAAGTGTTACTGGCACAGCCTCCAATCCGTCTAAAGGGGAGGCGAAATCTCCCAAGAAAAAAGAAACATGTGCTGTGTTTTCAGGTAGGTGAAATTTTGCAATCTGACCAAAATTCATGGAAGTTGGTGGCTCCATTTTTGCACGTAATCAGCCGAGGTTTTACTGCCAACTTGTGTTATAAGTACTTACTGAAGCTTCAAGTGTAGCTTTTGCCTACTGGAGCTGGGTACTTTATGCAAGAATCCACAAACTAATTTTAAACAATATTAGAGAGGCAGACTGGTAGAACTCTTACTTATTTTCTTGTCATATTGACTCCTCTATTTAGAGTGCACATAATTGTCGCTTAATAAGTGCCTGTAACTTGCTTTGTTTTTGATCATGCAGATTTCTTCAACCATTTTTTTGAAGCACACCGTTCTGATTGAAGAGGTTGAGCAAATGAAGAAGCTCCTCAATAAAGCTTTGGCAAACAGAATTAATGACTTTATGAAATCAAAAGATTAACCAAGGAATGGCACATCAAATAAAATATTTTGTTTGATTTCTGTGTTCATATTTGTGTCCTGCTTGCTCTGATGTAGCGGTGCACCTGCCAGTTGGCTAAGCACCGATTCGCTTGTGGGCCTATCAGAGTAGAATTGTCGCCATGGTGGCTGGCACACGAGTACTGGTACACTGATAGACTGGTACACTGATACACTGATAGACTGATACACCTATAGACTGATACACCTATAGACTGATACAACTGTCAATAACCTGATAGCCTATCAGTTTTTCTATCAGAATTTTTGCTAGGGTATGTTGAACTCTGGCATGCCTTTCACCATTTAGGAGCATAGTGTATTTCGCATTCTGAAACACTGCCACTGATGCAAGCGAATTCATTCTTCAAAATGTAAATGACCACCTTTACTGTAATACTGTTGCAAATGCAAGTGTTTTCACTTGGTAGACGTTCATACCGAAGAATGACTTATGGCTTGCGAATGCATAAATGCTATGGTGGCATTCAGGAAAAGATTAGAGGAGGAGGAGGATTGAAAGAGGAAGGACAGGGAGGTTAGCCAGTTCTCAGACCGGCTGGCTACCTTGTACTGGGGAAGGGGGTAACGGGGATAAAAGATGAGAGAAAAGAGACGTTGAAAAAAAAAAAAAGGAGAAGGTCATCAGACAATCCACGACGCTGCTTACAGTCTGTCTCTAAGACCACCTGCCCGCAGAAAGCGCAACAACGCTCTCAATGCCTTGCTTGCAGAGGAGGGTCTCGGCCAGTGTCCTAATACCCTTTCTTCCAACAATTGGCGATTGTCTAGTCTATCTAAAGCTTTCCATAGTTCTTTTCTCGCATTGAAGCGAGGACACTCGCAGAGAAGATGGGAGAAAGTCTCTGCGCAGCCACAGTTGTCACACGTTGGGCTGCTGGCCATTCCGATTCGAAACGAATAAGCATTCCTAAAGGCCACCCCAATCCACAGACGGCACAAAAGTGTCTCCTCAGCTCTGGTTATTGCTGATGGAAGACGGAGCTGTAGGTGTGGGTCCAAATTATGAAGGCGGACGTTGGTGAATGCCGGTGAATCCCACTGAGCGAGTGTCATTTCTCGTGCAAGTAATCGAAGCCTTGCAGCGGCGTTCGTTCTTGATAATGGTATAGCTGCACAAGGGGCATCATCATCGTGAGCAGATCGGGCTGCTTCATCTGCACGGTCATTTCCATCAATGCTGCAGTGGCCTGGTATCCATTGATATGCTATGTCATGTTGTTTCTCTATAGCCCGGTGATGAAGCAGTCGTATTTCAGCAATTAGCTGTTCGTTTGGTCCATGACGATATGGCGAGGCAATTCCCTGGAGAGCTGCTTTGGAGTCGGAGAATATTGACCATGTCTGTTGCGGTTCTTCAACTAGGAACTCCAGAGCAGCACGAATGGCGGCGAGTTCTGCCGCCGTGGATGATGTCAGATGCGAGGTCCTGAGCTTTATCGAGATGGATTTCTCCGGAATCACCACTGTGCCTATTGAACTCGTCGAAGTGACTGACCAATCCGTGTAAATGTGAATGCGTCCACTGTGTTTCTCATGCAGAAACAGTAATGTTGTTTGTTTTAGGGCCAAATTTGACAAATTTTTCTTCTTTTGCATTCCAAGGATGGTTATCAGGGCTTCCAGTGGATGTAGACACCACAATGGTAACGACGGTCTTGCTGCGTGCGTGAAGTTCGTGGGAATCACCGTGCGATATGGGGCAATAATAGAGCAGAACGCAGAACGTGGCCTGGAAGTTGGAAGGGAGGCGAGGTGATGCGATTGAATTCGGGTGGCATGTCTTATGTGCGTTCTTAAAGCATTGAGACGAATGTAGGTTGTGATAAGATGTTTATGAGCGATTGCGACAGTCGCTGCTGAGGATGCGCATCTCGGAAGCCCGAGGCATATTCTCAGTGCTTGACCTTGTAATGACTGGAGGACCCGTACGTTTGTTATGCGGGCCTTGCCAAGCACAGGTAGGCTGTAGCGCATGAAGCCAAGAAAAAGTGCAGCATACAGTTGAAGCATGGCTCGTACCGATGCACCCCATGATTTTCCCACAAGAAACCTTAGGACGTGGGTGATCATGGTCAGTTTCTTCTTCATGTGAGCGATATGAGGGCTCCAAGACAAGTCACGATCTATTATTACTCCCAGGAAACGGTGGGTCTTTCGATAGCTCATCATGTGTCCATTAACTCTGATGCGGTATGGCGTCATTGTCTTGCGCGTAAACGCAACCAGTGAGCATTTCTCAGATGACAGTTCTAGTCCTCGTCCTTGAAGGTAGTTTGACGTCAGTGTAGCCGCTGTCTGAAGCCTGGCTCCTACCTGTAGACGCGTGACCCCTGATGCCCAGATGCAGATTAAAAAATTAAAGGTGTTTGATTAATTAAAGGCTAAATTACAGCTGCTGAGTACTTGACTTTTTTTTTTCCTATTAGAGACAATACAAAATGCACAAAAAATTATATTAGAACACTGGAAAAAAATAAACATTCGTGTGGGATAGCAATATATGTTCCAATACTGATGGGCATTACAATTTCAAATCTTTAGTTAGTGGTTTCAGATAATTTCTATACTAACTTTCATTTTTTTTTTTTTTTCTCAAATGTGCACCTAGCCCATCTTGTTTCTTTGACATGCTGTGAGAATTATCCTGGAACCGAGATTCAATTTGCATTAGGATAGAGAGCTTGTTGCAAGATATGTGCAATTGAGGCTTAAAACTGTGTAATTTATTTAACTATATTGTTTTGAGAAAAAGGAGCTTAATTAAGGATTTTAGAGTACTAGATATGCATGCATTACAACCACATTGGATCACTGGCCAGTATACCGAGAAAGGGTCAGTGTGGAAGGGATTGAGAGAAAAGGCAGCAATTTATGATCAACATGTAGGCAATGATAATCGAGAGTCAATTGAATACAATTGAATGCATCAGGGCACAAACCGTAGATAATGATATCATAGTTGAAATCAAGAAGAAGAAATGGACATGGGCAGGGCACAAAGCACGTAGGCAGGATAACCACTGGTCAATAAGGGTAATTGACTGGATTCCCAAAGAAGACAAACACATGAAAGGGAGACAGAAAGTTAGGTGGGCCAATGAGATTAAAAATTTCACATGTATAACGTGGCAAAGGAAAGCACAAGACCGGGTTGATTGGCGGATCCTGGGAGAGGCCTTCGCCCTGCAGTGGACGTAGTCAGGCTGATGGTGGTGATGATAATGAATACAAGCCTTAAAAAAACCCTTTATGCGAGTCATCGAGGATGTTGCCCATTATGCGCACAACAGCTTACTGAATTGCGAAAACCCTTTTTGGCCTGCTGTAAGTGAAGACTGACGGCACCTAAATTGAATATGGCAGTAAATGGCAGTATGAAAGGTCAGCCAGTTATGTGAAACCATCTCATGTCGAAGCACATACTGCTCACTGTGTGTAGGCTACAACCTTAACAGAAGGAATGGAGGCAATTCAACCAGTGAATCACTCAAAATGGTGTCATACGAAATAGTACTGTCAATGTGGATTACCTTTAATAATAACTGAGGAAGAAATGATAGAAAATATTGGTGTACAGGACAGCACGCGTGCAGCAAGTGAAATATGGCACACACCGAATAGCAAGCAAACGAAGGTACCCACATTATGTGAGTGTCGACGTAGAGCATGACACGATACAGGTGCAAGGCAGGCACAGCTTTGCATATCACAATATAAAAGAAGGCATAGATCAGAGCACCGACATCCACACAGGTGTGCTGAAGGATTGAGCACAAAGAGGGATCGATGAATGGACGAACTTTGAGAAACATTTATTGAAATGCAGCAATTTCTAACATCATTTGCGCCAGCATAAAAATGAATTCACTTGCATAAACATTCAGCCTTTGCACCAGTATGAACATTCACAACATGAAAACTCCAAATATAAACAAAAAAACACATTCAGACAATGCAGAGCATAAAACAGCTCTCGAGGAGGCAAACTTTGAGCTTGTAGTGCATGAAATGGTCGTGTGGTGTACATGATAGAGGAGCTTAGACACCAGAAACTCGCTTAAGATTGACAAAACGTGTCAGCGGAAATGATAAAATGACAAATCCTTTGTAACCTTGTGCTTATATGTCATGTGAGAGCGAAAAAAAATATTTTGTTGCAGTCACGCACGAGAATTTGACACGTACTACAATAAATTGTCTTCTTAAATCTAAATAAAAAAAAAAACAAAGGCTCACTGAAATGAACTGTGGATCTATCCGTTAAAATGCATGCTCTGCACTTACTCATGACTTACTGAAACAACCCTAAGTAGTGTGGCTACGGCCATTCAGGGTATTTGATTAACAATATTAATTATTGTAAATAAAAACATGCTATGAGCCTCATATCAATAAATATAAATAAATTATACAGTTTAACATCACAACATGGCTCATAAATTGTGAGGAACTAACCGAGGGTACTTTGCAATAATCTTGACCATCTTGAAAACATGAAAGGCACGTGAGTATTTTTGCATATAGCCTCCATCAATTTGGTGCAGCCGCCATGACCGACAATCGAACACACAGTTTCATTTTAAATCGATGAAAGAGCTGGTTAAAGCAGAAGGGTAAATAAAACACAGGAGTACAAGCAGATCCAAAAGAATCAGTAGCTATAATTTGTTAAACGGCCTACAAAGCTCATTTGAATAAACCAAGAAGCCTCTCTGTTATTTGGTCAATGCAGTGCACGCAATGTAAGATCACTGTGTAATAAGACAAAAGAAACAGCACAAAGTGCAGATCATAGATCAAAAAAATATGTTCAAATGAACAATCATTGTTCATATTTTATCCCTAGGTCAATTTCTCAGCAATTTTCCACAAAGAATAGCTCATTATATGGTGCCATGACACTGTGGTGAGGATCCACTCCACAGGGTCAGATAATAAATGCATGCCATAGTGATGCCAAATAATGCAATCGATTGAGAATATGGCACCCCTGATGGTATAAGTAATAATGCCTGCAGTTTTTACTGTAACACTGTCATGCCTATACGAGGTGAATTGGAGAGCACAGATGATCTTAATTGTGGCTGTCACTAGCGCACCGCTATATTTTGGCAACCACACAAGAGAAGGAACAATTGGTGTTGCATACTCAGAGCACAAGGTTAGAGATTTGGAATCACCTTTGCACGTGTGCATGAGAATTTTGAAAGGTGAGTTTAACTTTGTTCATGTTATTTGTCCCCAAACTTAATGAGGAACGAAAATCTGCTAATTTATCACATACCAGCCAGGGCTGATTAGGGTTATCAGAGTTCAGTTCAATGAGTTAAGGATGCAGTAGAATCTCTTCTATCTCACGTATCACTGCAGTACAATCCAGAGCAAGTGTCCCGTCTATGGTGAAGGAGAATTCACCATAGGGGGAATGAATTCGCGATGGTGGCAGAAGAGCCGTTAAGAATGAAGGATGGACACCCATGCTTCGCTCGTTGTAGTGAGGAAGGTGCAACGATTGTGCCACGATATGCTCGATGTCTTTCACAAAGCTGTTCACAATGAACATAGCTTTGCTGGAGACTAAAATGCTTTATTGGATACGAATGCATTCACTGTTTTCATTCACTCTCATTGGGCAAATGAAAACAGTGCATGAAACAGCGAAAATGGTGGGAGGAGAGAAGAGGCCATACATTCGAAATCTCCCGAAGAAGGAAGGTGCCTGCCTGCTCAGGTAGGGGCACTTGTAGGGTATTTTACGGTACTTCATACACAACATCTTGTTTCACTGCCAATCCATGTAGTAAATGCATTACTTTGTATAAATTTTTCACTCATACCTAAATATAATGCATTTACTTAATAAAGTGAAGTATGGTATTAAAATTATCAACATCATTTTGGCAGTAAACACGAGAGAAATGAATTTGCACAGTATGTCGAAGAGGGGAAGGGGGGAGACATTTGTTTATCATTGCTGATAGCTTTTACATTGTTCAAATTAAACTGAACTCAATGCCACTAAGCGTTACATTTAGCAACCATTTGCAACTGTTTACACAATATTCTGGGCAGAGGCTCCAAAACAAAAAATATAGAGGATAGGTAATATGACGACTACTTTGACTAGTATGTGAACACAAGGAGTGCTCTTGACTCATTCAGAGTCAATGTGAAAACGATTTTTCAATGTGGATAAGGACGATGATAATGTGGCATACACACAAACCTCGTAACAACAAAGTTGCATCTTAGACAAAAATAAGTATGTTATATATGAAATTTTGTTGTAAAGGTATGTTCCTAACACTAGTTATATATATTGCAAGACTATTTTAGGCACATTTATGATTATTTGTTGCTGGCTCACAGTAGAATTTTTTATGCTGATAATCTTATTCTAACGCTACACAAGAGCACTTTTAAGGAGTAGAGCAGTTATTAAGTCAGCTACAAAAAGTTCTAAAATGAGGACAACAAAAATAAATAGGTGGTTACATATTGTTTCTTTCACAGTCTTTGTGCACCTCAAAGTTAAATGCTCTTATGTAGTAATATCACCATTCCAAAAGATGGATATCCAAATAATTCTAAGAAAAGTACTTTCAATGCACAACATGTGAAAAACACAGATTTGGACAGTACTAGTTGTCTGAATGGACCAGACTTTCACCACGATCCCGCAATGAATTGATCCAACTCTGCACTGGTCTCAACCGTGCGAACTTAACTTAAAGGGACCCTACAACACATTTTCAAGTATCAAAATTTTTGCTTTGCAAATCAACTGCCACAAATAATTTCAGAATTTGACAAGCACACGGGGAATCACAGAAATTTATGGCACGCTCTGTGCACTTCCTCTCTCCTTACGTGCCAGCAAGTGCTCTGAAAGCTACACAAAAAGGGTAGCGGCTTGGCCTAGCATGTATGTCATGACGAGCGCTGTAGCACAAACTAAAGACAAGGACACAAAGACAAATGGGGACGAGTGCCAAGTGCTCGTTTTCAATCGTCAGCGTCCTTGTCTTCGTGCTATAGCACTCCCTACACGAGAAGAGAGATAGCACGAAGGCAAGGTGATACGTCGGCGCAGCCATGAAAGTCATGATCTTGAGCACTTTCTTGTTTTCTTTCAATGTCCAGCATACTTTCAGTGAGATGATGAGCACATTTTGTTTAGTGCGGTGCAGGCACAATGAAGCATTCTACACAGCAGTTGATTCCCGGTATATGAAATCATTTGTCAAAAGGAAAGTGAGTGGCATCTAGCTGATATTGAAATTCAATTGTAATTTGCATACCACATGCACACTCTAATGCCTGGCTCACGTGCGTGCAGTAGCCTTGACTAATAATCACCAGCATTATAGCATTATGAAACCCATTGAAGAAGTGCTGCAGGGCTCCTATAATGGCATAGGTGTTCACACACACACCGACTTCAATGGACTCGAACCCGCGACCTCTTGCTCGGCATCAAGACCCCACAGCCGCCCACCAGCCACACCGATCAAAGACGTGCAGTCACCAACCGAGGCTGTACTCAACTATGATTTCGTGAAATAAGATCCTTCAGATTGGTTCGTATATGGTGGCGGCCGCTCGTACGGCAGTGGTTCGTGTGGTGCGGATGGCGACGGCAACACGACATCCGACGGCTGTATGAGTGGTGCAACACCGTTGCCCGTGTGGGGGCCCCCCTGCAAGTATGGTGCAGTTGGCTGTGGGTGGCGATTCGGCTGTGGACTTGGTGCGGCCGGAGACAGAGTAGCTCCCGATACCAGAGGATACGATTCAAGTGGGGCATGTGTCCTTGCCCCCGACGTCACCACAGGTGCGGCTGGCATCAGTGGAGGTGGAACACAAGGGCTGGCATTCTGCATGAAGCAAATATTTTTATCAGATATCAGAGCGATGGAAATGAAGACAATGCAAGTTACAGGTCATTAATGCTGACTGTTCTCACTTTGAGATCTCGATCCTGATGCGCTATATGTAACCCTGTTTTTTCTTCATATAATAACAGTGAATAAACGAACTGGCAATGCAGAATAAATTAGATATGTGAGCAAATTAATAAAGACCTAAACTAAACAAATTACTAGTAGTGTCCCTAAGTGAATGCACGTCGCCGTGGTGAGAGAGTCAAATCCCAACGTTTACTGCAGAAAAATGCTAACCTGAAGGCTTGACGGACCGAAAGCTGTACTAGCTGGGCTCAGAAGCTTATAGCAGTACTACAAAAAGATTCAGAAAAGGTTTTTGTTTTGAGAAACTCATGATGGCATATACTAAAGGGGCCCTGAAACACTTTTTCAAGTGACCATGAAATATTATAAGCACGCACTTATATTATATACTATAAGTGCATGCTTCTCATGACTCTGAAGGAGCAAGAAGTTTGGTGAAACAGAAGTTTTCAATGAATAGTAATTTTTCAATGAGCTTCAATCAATGTCCCCAAAGGCAGTCATATTGTGTCAACCTAATTCAACAAAACAAATATATCTCAGATGTCTTCACTATAAGCTGGCTTTGTGCAATTGTAACTGTACATGAAGCCTGTTTTACCAATCTCCAAGAACACCCACAGCTTCGAAATCGCATATTCAATCACTGCTGTACTTACATAGATATTGCGCTGTCGTCGCAAGCAAAAACAGAGCAGGCTAAAACAAGTTGCTGCAATCATCAAGGCGATAAATATGGTGACGATTGTTCCAGGAGCCAAGGCAGTCCGTTTGTGCATGCTTTGCCCTGTGCACATAACGGAATTGATCTTACAGAGGTCACACAAACCTTATGCGACATTTAATATGACAGCAAACACTGAAAACTAAGCTGTCATTGAAGACTGTTGCCTCCAGGCAGGAAACCAGAAAAGAAAACTATTCTTACTACACTGCTTTGGTTGCGGGAATATAAAGTATGCCGCCAACCAACATTTATTGATAGGCAATGCTGCGATTTTAGATCAGTTTCGGTTTCACTTTAGTCTTTTTTTTTTTTTTTTCAGAGCAAGCCTTCCATATCCTTTTTGCTTGACTACATATTTCTCTGCGTTGTAAACAAATGTTGCTTCCAATCCTGACTGCCCATAGGCACTTTTTAATTCAATTATAACAATGATGATGAGGCTGGGGCTCAAACACAAAAGTCACTTGTTGGTTTACAGCAAACAATTGTTTAGATACTAGGAGGCAATCAGGTATGTTAAAAATAAATATTTGCATATTGTTACAGAATACCTAACGCAGCAGCTTTTTGCGGTGTATAGCATTTCATTCAGACTGGCTAAGAAAGAACAATTTTTCGTGTGACACCCTGTTCAAAGAATATGAGAACTAACTGTTAGTTCTCATTCTTATTGTGACAAAAAAAAAAACAAGCTCTTAAATTTACATTTCTACCCTGTCGAAAAAGAATTTTCATTTATTTACGGCTACATTTTCTATATGTGATACTGTTTTCATTGGTTAAGTTATATGTCTAGCTGAAAACAATCGATATACATATGCTTACTTTGTAGCACAACCTGCATTGAAGTACATAGTTCTAGAGGTAGTTTAAATTGCACGACTCTTTGCAAAAATCAAGTATTTTACAAGTTTTGCAGTCTCATGAAAGCACTCGATGCACCAAATAAAATACACACTCATGCGTGTTTGAAAAAAAAATACTGCTTGCATATGTTCTTGCATATGTTCTTGCTCAGTGTCCAGGCTGAGCGAACTACCAGCCAGACGGCTACATCAGCAACTTTGTCACAGATATGAAAACTGGTTATGACAGCAAGTGATAAGCAAAGGGCCGTTAACACCAACTGAACTTCCCCCTCTTCCACCATTTTTAAACAGAGCATGAATGCACTGGTAAATAAACATGCCACTGACTCATAGCATGTCGTGGTTATTTTTAGGGTCGCAATGAAAAAGTTCAGGTCAGGCATCTCAAAACACATTCTACGTGATCTTCAAGGGCAACTTATGGTGTGAATGAAATGTCTGTAATAAATGATTGCAGCAAATAACCACACTTCCCAAGACACCAAGTATGACTTCTCAAAACATATTATTCATTTCTTTGCTGCTTAATGCCTCAGCTTTACTTTAGAAACTGTAGTTCAACTGCAAGTTGTCTGAAACACCTCAAATAAGCAATCATGATAGAATTAAGCTACGCATGTAGCAAGATACTTGTTATGTGTGTAGCCAGAGACTTAAAAAGAAGATAAAACAACACAAATGGCTGCCTTTCTTCATAACTCATCCTTACTTAAAAGCTCTTAAATAGGTTGAATATTTATAAACTGACAGGCATAGTATAAGTTGAAAACATACACCACATTCTATTTCTCATTTTCATTGTTCAAACCTGCAAGCATGCTAAATATGAAAATGCTGCACATTTAAAATTCTGGGCTGCCAAGATAGGTGCCAAAGGTACACCAAATTTATTATATTTACCATGAATGTGGCAACATAATCATGCTTTCCTGCTTGTAATACTGAAGCGTAAAAAAATAGGCAATCATTTCTGTCAATGAACAACTCAGAGAGCTGAACAGAAGCATGACATGCTAATTTTCTATAAATGCCGCCATGGAACAGCTGTATATTGAGTTTACAACTATGATGTCAAGAAGACTTACATTTCTTTTCAAACTCCTCATCAAAAGCTTGTACCAGATTTACGAGAATGCTTAAGCATACATATTCAACCAACAACTTGAAGAAAGGATTCATGCTGGCTTCAAAGTGACAACAGCAGCACAGGGAGACCTGCAAGCCAAAAGAAAGCAACGATTTCAAGCTTTCTGACAATAATTATTGATGAGCACAATAGAGGTATGATACATATAATAGTTACTATGGTGGTTGTTTCTACACAATACAGAATTAAAAAAAATAACCTGCCCCAACTAGCATAATGGTGGTTTCCCATTTAATTGCCCAAAAACACAGACATTAATTTCATAAGAAATCCAAACACACAATCACTCTCATCAATGAAATATTAGTGCTTGTCTTTTATTGATTTTTTTGCTTTACTATACATTTTGCAAATCGTTATTTGTGCCAAATGAGCTTGCAAGACATATGCACTTGAAAGTTAGGCATCATCGACTAAGTGTGTGTTTGCAATTAAAGGAGTTTAGTTAACTGGTCATTTTTGTGTTTATGTTTCTTGCACAAGTAATATTGACCATTTCAAGTAATTGAGCTCAGGGATTTTTTACGAAATCTGTCACAGGCAATCAACAATAACTCTGTGCTGTCTGAAAAAAAAAATGCCAACTAGAATATATAGCCACGCATTACACCCAACATATCCAATGACAAGTATTCCTATGAATAGTTAATAACCATGCACTATACCACAACCAGTTGAATAGATCAGAGACTTTGTAAATATGGGTTATTTCAACTTTCTATATATACGACATCCAGATAAAAATGTTCTCATGATAGAAAAAAACCTTAAAATAAACTGTAAGTCAAATGTATATAATATAGCCACTTCTACAACAAAGTATGCTTTAGAAAATTATTTCTTCCATACTGGCCTTATCGCAACAGTTATATGGTGTGTGACATTTACTGTAAAGTAGCCCACACAATTAACTTTACATGGGATGATGATAAGGAATGTGGTAGTGGGCAATTCCAGATTAATTTTGACTACCCGAGGTTCTTTGACATGCACCCATGTATAATTATACGGGTGCTCTTGCATATTTCCTCTATTATAAGGCAGCCACCATGGCCAGGAACGGAAACAGCCTGCAGCATGATGTGTGCAAAGCTACTGTGATGGGTAATTTCGAAGTCCATATTGAGGACCTAGTATTTAAAAGGTGTTTGCATGTATTGCAGGTCAGGTGTCCAGCTCAACTACAATTTATACTGAATATCTTGAACATGCAGGTTACTTCATTTATCCAAGCATCCGCATGGCCTATTTTCCAGGCACTGGATTCCCTAATTTCTCCAGTTAAACTGACCGGATAGCAGGTTTGACGGATGTTGGTTTGTGCAAAATAGCGCACAGCTGCACAGCAACGATGGCACTGTTTGTGCACAACGCTTAATAATGCAGGCAGAACCCGAGCTGGCCCAGTTGCAGAGCCAATTGGGAAGAGTGAGAGGGTGCGACCACTTGGCCCAAACATATATTCATCCCCACGTTTCTCCTTGCACCTGGGCCATATGTGCGCTGTCATCACAATTTTGTTTTTCAAATGATACCTCAACATTTAAACTAATCACAAAAAGATGAAGCACATGCAGGCACCACGACTCGCGGCCGGGCTGAAACGTACGGCTCTCTGGTGAACGTGAAACAGATAGTAAACAGGCGCTGTATATGTGTGTAGACATAACATCGCCGAGTTGCACGAACAGGCATTAGGAAAACAAGCTTAAGATTACATGTTTTCACAGCGGAGGTGTCTTAGTTCGACCCTTTGCCGTCCGGCGTCACGCAGGAGCAGAACCAGGTCACGTGACAAGGAGAGGAGCGTTGATCAAGGCATCGGTCTGCGCTATGCCCGTACAAGCGCGGCAGGTGAAGCGCGGACCAACCAGATGCGCCTCCGAAAGAAGGTAATGGACTCCGCAGGCTTCGAGCGATAACGGGAGCTCGCACTGGTGCGGCAGATGACGTCGAGCAACGAACCCGAGCTTCGACAGCAGGCAACGCGAGCCAACGAGCGGAATCGAATAGAAGGAAGCGCAAAGGAAACGGAGTCCGCCACAGCGAAGCACGCAACAACCGCAGTTTAAACAGATAAAATATACACCACGGACCGCGGAAATACACACGTCAGAACACCGAAGGAGCCACAGCTCCGCTATTACGTCAAATTTTCTTTGGTGGTACTGGTTTTATTTGAAAGTGGTCCTTTAAGACGTGATCAAACGACGAATTTGCGCGCAGTCGCATTACGGTTGCACTGCTTTCAAAGCATTTTCTCCAAATTTATTTTCACCCGCACATGAACTCCCCAAAATGATATCCCACCTGAGCTCGCAAGTCGCACCAAAGAAGTAATCATATAATGAAAAAAAGTGACACACAACCTTAATTTTCACAGTTCGCAAATCCTGGCTACACCCTTCTCGCCGCAGATTATGTAAAATACACATAGCAGCAATCACCTAACAGCGCATAAGTAATTTCGTGATTACCTTGATTTAGCGTCCTTCAGCTTCTTCAACGAATGGAATAATACTTGGCTGTTCACTGCGACTGCGCGCGAAATTAGGATATAAAACCAAATGACACTGGGGTTTTACGTGCAGACGTGACAGGCAGTCGAGGCACTCTGCACGGTCTAGACTGACGATCGCTTACGACACGTACAGCTAGACGTAAACACGCGCCGTCGTTTTGTCACACCTCCTGCATGCGCCGCGTGCCTGACCAAGGTCGAGAAAGAGCTATGCTAGGGATATTTCGGACAGCAGCAATATGTTCCTTCGAGGCACGTTACGATAACGGCGCCTAAAGTCTCTATAGTAGCGCGCGGAACAAATTGCCCGAAAAGAAGACATTGTTCTTCCCCTTTTCCCGGAAAAGGGGAAGTGGGAGTAAGGGTAAAAGTGCCACCTCCGGCCGTTCCATAATTCCCTGTAACCAACGTACATCTAGCTATATTAAAAGAAAAAAAAAAAGCCTTAAAGGAGCCCTGTAATGCTTTTTGAGCATGGTCTGAAAACGCTGCCGATCGGTAGTAGAGGCTCCCGACAACACGCGAGCCAAATATTAGAGCACAGCACGCGGCCTGGAATTCACAATAAATGATCAAAGTCAGCTAAAAATTGCTTTCTCTTCTCTCGACAAACCACGTGCGTTATATGCCCAAAATTTACACGTCAACGACCCATCTATCAGCCATTGGCTGATCTGAACATGGCGCGCTCGCTCGTTACAGAGATCACCGTGGGAGGCCGCTACTTGCCCACGCGTGCGCGCGTGATTCACACTCAAAAAGCCGCGCATTCGAAGAAAAAAAAAAAGAAAAAAGTGCTCAGAGTCGCGAAGCACGCGTGACGGTTTTCTGTGGCCCTGCCGTCTTTCCCTGCTTAGCTTCCAGCGCTTTCGTCGGGACAAGAGAAGAGAGAATGCAATTACAGCATGCGAAATTTGTAACTCTCCTCGTACTAGACGGATTCTTAAAATTTTTGTGGTGTTGAATTTGTGAGGCAATAAGCTATTCCAGTCGTCAAGACATGCACGGCCTGTCAGCGCCGCAAAAATCTAACGAAGAAACCAGCCGGCCTGCTTCAGCCTTTACGACCCCCTCACGCACCTTTTGAAAAGGTCGGGTTGGATTTACTCAGCCCATTTCCGAAGTCTACGGCTGGTAACCGCTGGATTGTGGTTGCCACCGACTGACTACTTGACCAGATACTGCGTAACACGAGCCGTCCAGCGAGCAACTGCATCCGATGTGACTGACTTTTTAATCAAGAACATCGTTCTCCGCCACGGTGCTCCCGCTGTGGTCATCACAGATCGTGGTACTGCTTTTCAGCACAGTTGCTCCGAGAGATCCTGTTGGTAAGTCCGAGTCCGACTGAGCCTTTAGCGCGAAACATAGTTCTTGAGTCAGCCGGATTGAGCTCTCCATTTTGCCAACCTATGTTTCTATCCACTCAACTTCAGCATTAATGTCAGCCTTAAGTCAGCTCACATTTTACTCGCACCTGCTCACAGATACTTCTACTTGCAAGTGTTCGTATGCCAGCTTAATATATATTGATCAAAGAGGTGAGCTACAAAGAAAGGAGGAGAGAGGAGAACGCTTTGACCCTTTCCCCTTCCCACCACGAAGTCCTTTACAGAAAGTTCTTGATCAAAATATCACGTGCGAGTCGTCTGTCCAATAAAGATGTTTTTACCGTATCACAACTACTCACAATCGGTACAATTTATACTCGATTTAATCAAGTCACCAGGACCCACGATTTGTTTAGTTACATCTGGAACTTTGTAGAATCGGGACAACAAACTTCATTTGAAAGAATGACAAATTTATTGCCTCGTGTAAATGCTTGCGATTTTTACCAGTGTGAGCTTTGCGAGCAGGAGGAGTCCACAATTTTCGTAGCCGGCCAACTAAATCAACTACGTCTTCGACACCTTCATGTGCCTTAGCAAATTGCTTCAAAAGGTCGACGGAAATCATCACCTGGCTTACTGTCGTCATGGGAGCTTACGGTATCCATATCGTTTGCACCTTCCAACTCTTCTTGTGCACCCGAAACAAGCTTCGCTATCTTCTATTCACTGAGGACTTCTGTTGTGCCAGTGTCCGTGTTGGAATTCATAAAGTCGTCAAAGTTCTGGTCTGCGGCCACTTTTTCATGCCAACAAAACGCAGTTTGTAGTTTGTGCAGTTTTGGTAGGTAGCTTTGTAAGTAAAAAAACGACAATACCTCCACTGTATTGATTATACCGCTCCTACACTGGCAGCACACCACTGGAGATTGTAATCACCATAACTTTGAAAAACCTTTTTTTTTTATGCCTATCTCCTTTTGGAATGCCTCATTACAGTCATGGACTCTCAGTCAACGGAAATCTGTTAAACGAAACTGGAGCTTAATTGGAACAACTGCCTCTGATATGATTGGTTTCCCACTTAAATGTACCCACTCAGTTCAACTCTCAGTTAACGGAACTTCTGTTAAATCGAACACATTTTGCCGGTCCCTTCAGGTTCTGTTTAATGAGAGTCTAATACTGGGTCCAGTGGCAAAGTTTCATTATTTTGAATTCGTAAAAGCACTAAGCCTACAGCCAATTGTGAGGGGAATTGAAATTTGTTTGTTAAATTGGGAACTTCGTAAAATCAAATTTCATAAATTCGAGTTTCAAGTGTACTTGAAAAAGTGAAAGCAAATGTTGCAAAGCAGAGCACCAATTATGTGAAACATTGATTTCAAAGAGCACTGGCATCATAGTTAAAAAAGGTAATTTATGCTGACGGACTCCTAAATAGACTCTCTCAAACTTGGGTTGAGCCACGTGTCTGAGCGAGTCTAAATGAGTAACATTTTGACGAGTCAAAGTTTGAGTTAGTCCACTTCAGGAAAACTTTGTTGAGTCTGAGTCTGAATGAGCCCTAATTACAAAATAGATATAGAGTTCTAGAGTGGGTTTGCGTGACGTGACTCACGCCAGAGAGAACCAGCAAGCAAAATGATATACTATAACATTTAAACTTCTGTTTCATCACAAATTTCACACATGATATATCCATAGCAGAAATGAACTATTTCATGGTCATGCACACATTGCTAATTTTGTGCAAATTGAAAGACTTCTTTTATACAGAATAACAGTGACCAACATCTTTATTAATTCAGGCAAAGTCGGAATGATATGGTACACAGGACAACATGAACATTTACAATGTGAGACGTAAAATAGGGCATAATATAAATATCAAATAAATACAGACAGGCACATTTCATCAGGCGAAATAGCCTTGTGTATCACAGTACAAAAGAACGCACAAGTAAGGACACTCATGTGCACAAGCTTATCGTGATGCTCGAGCATAAAGAGGGCAGCAAATGTTGCTCACTCAAATGCAGCAGTTAAACATCCTGTCCCAACAAACAGGCAAATGCAGTGCAGCTTATACCTGCAGAAACTAAGAGCATGAGAGCATAATATTGCAGTTTCTAAAGGAGCCAAAGAGGCAGTTCAATTTTATAGTTGGCAACGCGAGTTAAATTGTGCATATTCATTCAAAACTCGCATATATCATGCATACAAGCACTTCAACAAGGAAGCTAGAGCAATAATAACTTACTATACTGGAAGTACTCATCATATCTCATGAGATTCTTATAAAACTTATCTAAAAGCTTAGGACTTGTGAGTGTGGACTTAAGTCTCCCTTAGATACTACCCAATTTATGAAATTCATGAATATTCACCGACAAGGCACTGTGTTCCAGTGACTTAGATTCCGAAGAGCTCGCTTTGCCAGGAAAAATGGAAAGGCGGGCTCGTCACCAATGATGCGCTGGCAAGTTACTAGCTTTTCAGAAACCAAACTGCTACTCACAATGAACTCACGTTTTCTTCCAACTCTTTTTACACAGTGCAAAAGATAATTATGAAATGTAAAACAAATAAAATAAAAACTACAGAACGCACTTTCCTGAGCCTCTTGTCTTTTTTTTTTCTGCATTGCACCATTACGTTTTGCACACCATGAACAAATTAGTCCAACACCTTTTAATAAAATTTTTATGCAGCATTAAAATAAGCTGTTGTCTACAAGTGCAAGCTTAAACAATGACACCAATAATTCCGATATTTATTCATGCGAAATTTGAGTGTGGCCATTTAAGTGTTTTGATTTTGTGATATCTAAGACGTACTATTCGAGACAGACAACCACATATGCCTACGTAGCAGCAATGAACTTCCGATTTGGCAGCATGACCAGCGCGGTCCTCTTGGCGGAGGCACTTGGTAGCTGCTCAATTGGAGAGCATGCGTAGATTTTGGCACTGGCAATTATGAGCCCTGGCAGGGCGTTTAGCAGCAGAAGGAAATAAAGCACTTTCTCTCACCGAGCTGCTCATAGTGAAAATAACACTGTGATAACGTAGCTGGCACAGGCAATATCATCGGTTAATAGAGGATGGCATGCTAATCTAAATAGCCATGCCGGGAAGATGTGTGTTAACGCTGCGCTATGCTTCCTTGATCACTACTCTCTTTCGCTGCTTGCCCTCTCATGCCACTTAATGAATGATTAAATGCGTCCTCTTACACTGGGCACCTTTTGTTTGTATTATCCAATGCTTTGAACAATCTAAATAAAAACACCGAAACATTTGTTGCTTTCCAACTCGTTCTCGAGCAAGTGATCAATAGTAAAATAAAATTACGGAGCATGGAATTGGAATGTAGTCAATGAAATAAACTCAATGTTACTGAAGCTTTGTGGGGGACAATTAGAAACAAATGGAAAGAACTCTGCCAGATGCACTGTATATTACACATTTGTATAATACATGCGTTGTCGTCAGTACTCTGGATATACTGTACAGAATTACTTATAGGGGTACTATGGCATAGCATACACAAGACAGAGTGCCTTCAAATGACGAAAAATAAAACATCAGTCTACACCGCTTTGGTCACTTCAAAATCAGAATCTATTGTGCAATAAAAAGAGCCCAATAGTAGGCAATGAATTGCCGTAAGCACTTTATCTTCTCCATAAAAATTATGATGCCACAGCTCTTGATTATTTTCACAATTTTCAATGTTGTGATGTGCCACCTCTGTCATATTCGTTGCCCATGATTAAACCTTCAACTATATTCACAGAACAAAACTCATCTTCACCCCACATTTAATGCTATCGGTGCCTATCAATATACCGTTCTTTGCAAGAAGTATGGAAGGCAAAAATGAAAAGCCGACAGATAAAAATTATTTCTAGGGCAGACCTGATGCAGCTTCCCAGCAGCACGAAGGCACTGCGCAGAGGTGTTAGGAACCTGCAGACTGGGTAGACTGATAAAAATGAAGGCCATGTATAAGCCCACATCGAGACTCGGCTACTTGTCCCTCGTCAACCCCACGAGACTGCCCAACCAGAGCCTTTTCAATGCACAACACATACCATTGCATGTCTTCTACTCTACTCTACCTTCATGAGCCATAACTTGTTGGGGCCATAATTTGTTGAACCGCCTGCACAGCTCATTAGAATAAACCAAGAAGCTTCTCTGTTTCCTTTGGTCAATGCAGTGCGCGCTGTGCAAAATTGCTGCGTAATAAGACGAGAGGACAAAACACAAAGTGCAGATCACACACCAAAAAAATGTGTTCAAATGAACACTCATCGTTCATGTTTCACCCCTAGGTTAATTTCTCAGCAGTTCTCCAGCAAGGTTGTCTTCTCTCATTATGTGGTGACATGAAACTGTGATGAGAATCTACTCTGCAGGCTCAGCTAAAGAATGCATATGAATAGCGATGCCGAATACTGCAATTGATTGAGATTGTGGCACCCCTGCTAGTAGAATGCCTGCAGTTTTTACTGTAACCCTGTCATGTCTATAAGAGGCAAATCGGAGAGCACAGACGAGCTTAAATGAGGCTGTCACTAGTGCATCTCTATATTTTGCCAACCACAACAGCGAAGGAACAATTGGTGTTGCATACTAAGAGCACAAGGTTAGAGATTCGGAATCATCTTTGCACATGTTCATGAGAATCTTTGAAAGGTGGGTTTAATTGTGTTGATGTTATTTGTCCCCAAACTTAAGAACGGAAATCTAATAATTCAGCATATATCAGTCAGGGCTGATTAGGGTTATCAGAGTTCGGTTCATTGAGTTATCGATACAGTAGAATCTCTTCTACCTCACGTATCACTACCGTAAAATCCAGAGCAAGTGCCTTGCCTATGGTGAAAGAATTCACCGTACGGGGGATGAATACGCGATGGTGGCGGAAGAGTCGTTAAGAATGCTTCGTTGGTTGTAGTGAGCAAGGTGCAACAACTTTGCCACGATACGCTTGAAGATTGCCATTCCCAAAGCTGTTCACTACTATACTGTTCACAATGAACGTGGCTTTGCTGGAAATTAAAATGCTTTATTGAATACGAATGCATTCACTGTTTTCATTTGCTCTCATTGGGCAAATCAAAACATGAATGAAACAGAGAAAATGGTGGAAGGGAAGAAGAGGCCATATATTTGAAAGCTCCCAAGGAAAGGAGGGGGTCACCTGCTCTGGTAGGTGCACTTGCAGGGTATTTTACGGTGTATCATACACAACCCCTTGTCTCACTGTCAATCCGTGTATAATTGCATTGCATTGTATGCCTTCGTCAGTTATACATAGCTTTAACGCTTTTGTTTAATAAAGTGAAACTCAGTATTAAAAATATCAGCATCAACTAGGCAGTAAATATAAGAGCAATGAATCAGCACAGCATGTCAAAAAGGGGAAGGGAAGATACATTTGTTTAGCATTGCTGATCACTTGTTCATTTTCAACTGAACCCAAGGCCACTAAACGTTACATCCAGCAACCATTTGCAACTGTTGACACAAGATTCTGGGCAGTGGCTCCAGAACAAAAAAGAAGAGGATAGGCAAAATGGTGCTCGTGACTCAGTCACAGCCAAAGTGAGAACAATTCTTCCAAGTGGATAAGGACAACGATAATGTGGCATACACTCACACCTTGTAACCACAAAGTTGCACCTTATACTAAAATAAGTATGATATATCCCAAATTTTATTATAAAGGTATGTTTCTAACACTTGTATTATATATAGTTTTATTGTATTATTAGCCATAAACAATATCTATTGCAAGACTATTTTAGGCACACTTGTGCCTTATTTGCTACTGGCTCACAGTAGAATTTTTCTATGCTGATAATCTTATTCTCACACAACACAAGAGCACTTTTTAAGCAGTAAAGTAGTTGCTAAGCCAGCTACAAAGAGTGCTAAAATGAGGATGACAAAAAATAAATAGGTGAATATATATATATTTTTTCACAGCCTTTGTGCACCGTAACGTTAAGTGCTCTTATGAACTAATATCACCATTCCCAAAGATGGCTATCCAAATAGTTCTAAGAAAACTACTTTCAATGCACAAGATGTGAAAAACACAGATTTGGGCAGTACTAGTTGTCTGAATGGACCAGACTTTCACCACGATCCCGCAATGAATTGATCCAACTCTAGACTGGTCTCAACCGTGCGAACTTAACTTAACGGGACCCTACAACACATTTACAAGTATTAAAGTTTCTTGCTTTGCAATTCAACTGCCACAAATATTTTCAGAATTTGTCAAGCACAAGGGGAATTACAGAAGTTTGTGGCACGCTTTGTGCACTTTCTCTCTCCTTATGTGCCAGCGAGTGCTCTGAAAGCTACACAAAAAGGGTAGCGGCTTGGCCTAGTTGGTATGTCATGACGAGTGCCGTAGCACAAACTAAAGACAAGGACACAAATACAAACGAGGAGAGTACCAAGTGCTCATTTTCATTTGTCTGAATCCTTTTCTTCGTGCTATTGCACTCCTTACACAAGAAGCGAGATGGTACGGAGGCAAGGTGATACGTCTGCGCAGCCCTGAAAGTCATAATCTTGAGCACTTTCTTGTTTTCTTTCAGGGAGATGACGAGCACATTTTGTATAGTGCGGTGCAGGCACCATGAAACACTCTACACAGCAGTTAATTCTGGGTATATGGAAGCATTTGTCAAGAGGAAAGTGAGTGACATCTAGCTGATATTGAAATTCAATATTAACTTGCATTCCACATGCTGCACTATAATGCCTGGCTCACATGTGTGCAGTAGCCCTGACTAACAATCAGCAGCATTATGGCATTCTGTAAGCCCATTGAAGAAGTACTGCAGGGCCCCTATAATGGCAGAGGTGTTCACACACACCGACTTCAATGGACTCGAACCCGCGACCTCATGCTCGACACCAAGACCCCACAGCCGCCCACCTGCCACACCGATCAAAGACGTGCAGTCACCAACCGAGGCTGTACTCAACTATGATTTCGTGAAATAAGATCCTTCAGATTGGTTCGCATATGGTGGCGGTCGCTCGTACGGCGGTGGTTCGCATGGTGCGGATGGTGACGGCAACACGGCATCCGACAGCTGTATCAGTGGTGCAACACCGTTGCCCGTGTGGGGGCCCCCCTGTAAGTATGGTGCAGTTGGCTGCGGGTGGCGATTCGGCTGTGGACTTGGTGCGGCCGGAGACAGAGTTGCTCCCGATACCAGAGGATACGATTCAAGTGGGGCGAGTGTCCTTGCCGCCGATGTCACCACAGGTGCGGCTGGCATCAGTGGAGGTGGAACGCAAGGGCTGGCATTCTGCACCAAGTAGATATTTTCATGAAGGATAAGAGTGATAGAAATGGTCACACTGTAAGTTACAGGTCATTAATGTCGACTGTTCTTAGTTTGGGACCTTGATCATCCTCATGTGCTGTATGCAGCCCTCTTTTTTGTTCATGTATTAACAATGAATAAACTTGAACTGGCAATGCAGAATGAATTTAGGTATGTGAGCAAATTATTACATCCCTAGTTAAACTAAATAAACTACCAGTGATATACTTAAGTGATTGCAAATTACCATGGTGAGAGAGTCACATCGCAGCATTTATTGCAGAAAAATGCTCTGTGGATGTGAAGCTGGGCTCAGAAGCTTATGAGTGCATCATGAAAAATTGAGAAAATGCTTTTGTTTTGAGAAACTATAAATAACTCATGATGGCATATACTAAAGGTGCTCTGAAACACTTTTTCAAGTAACCATAGAATACATTCACTAAAATAACTTATTGCCTAACCAATTCAACGATGCAAAAATTTTAAGAATCTGGTCAGTAGGAGTGGAGTTACAAAGATTTACCACACGTTGCAATCACATACTCTCTTCTCTCCCAACGAAAGCACTCAAAGCTAAGCAGGGGGGAATGGCATGGGCAAAGGAAATACAACACGTGGGCCTTTTCCCATTGATCAATTTTTCCTTCTTTTTTTTCTTTGAACATACGGCGTTTTCAGCGTGGCCATGCACGCACGCGTGGACAAGTCACTGCCTCCCGTGGCAATTCCTGTAATGACCAAGCGCGCCTTGTTCAAATCAGCCATGGCTGATAGAAGACCTTCTGCGAGTGATTTTTTAGCTTCCTCCGTCATTTGTCGAGAGAAGAGAAAGCAATTTTAAATCGATTTTGATAGTTTATTGTGAATTGCAGGCCGAGTGGTGGGCTATATATTTGGCTTGTATGTTCTCTGGAGCCTCTTCTACCAATCGACAGCGTTTTCTGACCATGTTAAAGAAGTGTCGCATTGCCCCTTTAGGGGCCCTAATGTCAAATTCTATTTATTAAGGAAGGTAGTGCACAACAAAATTATTCTTGCTCACAAGAACTTATGGCAGGGCGAGAATCAGATGTCATTCAAGAATCGTGAAATAGCCTGTCAATTTCCAATATTTTGTCAATTTGTTTTCATTGTGTATTGAGATGTGAATTCCTTAAATGGCGAATGAGAGAATGATAATCTGTGCATCATTATTCTTAATGCAGATAGTATGTTTTGTAGGGGAACAGTGTATCGAGTTCTGGTGTGTTTTCTTCACAAGTTTGGGGGCATATTTAAAAACACACTTTCTTTAATTGTTGTACAAAGTTTATGGCTTGTTTTTTGTCTGCATTATTGTTACACTTTTGTTTAAAAAGTTTATATTTATGGAGAAAGAGACAACATGCAATTTGTTGACTCAATATTTTTTCATGTTGTTATCTCTTAAAGGGACCCTGAAACACTTTTTCAAGTAACCATGGAATGAATTCACTGGAAGAGCTTATTGCCTCCCGAATTCAACGCCGCAAAAATTTCAAGGATCCGTCCAGTGCGAGTGGAGTAACAAAGGTTTGTCGCATGCTGCAATTGCATTCTCTCATCCCGACGAAAGCACTGGAAGCTAAGCAGGGAGGGCTGGTAGGGCCACAGAAAACTGTCAGAAACTTCGCGACCTTGAGCACTTTTTTTCTTTTTTTTATTCAAATTGCGCGTTTTTTTTTTGTGTGATCGCGCGTGGACAAGAAGCGGCCTCTCCCGGCGATCTCTGTAATGAGCGAGCGTGCCATGTTCAAGTCAGCCAATGACTGATAGATGGGTCGTTGACGTGCCATTTTTGGGTATATAACGCGATTTGTTGAGAAAAGAGAAAGCAATTTTTAGCTGACTTTGATAATTTATTGTGAACTTCAGGTTGTGTGCTGTGCGATAAAACTTGGCTCGCGTGTTTTTAGGAGCCTCTACTACCGATCGGTAGCGTTTTCTGACCATGCTCAAGAAGTGTCGCAGACCCCCTTTAAGGCTGTGCTCCAAAAAACAAACTCGTTTAGCAAACTAACGACAAAGTCAAATATATTGATAACAAAACTGCTTTCAAGAAGACGATAATGCCAGGATACACATCTTTCACAGTATGATGGCGATGTTTTACCAGTTGAGCAACAGGTGCAACCGTACCCCTGTTCACTTTCTTGGGCATCATCTTATGCACATGCTGTAAAATCACTTCTAGCATTCAACTGGTTGTGCAATGTGGAAAGAATGGGATTGGATTTCACAGCTAGCAAAAAGTATTTTCATTCACTGTTCAAGCACCACGTTGTAAGCAAATATATAGACAACATTTAGCACAAACATGGGACACTTTTGATTGTACCTGTGGTGCAAGTTTTAACATTAAACATGTAAAACATTTTAATACGTAAAGAGGTTTAGAAAAATGGGTTCACTAATTGATGGCTATGTTTACTCTTCATGCCATCTTGTTCCGTATGCTGCAGTTATAATATAAGCGTGTACATTTATTATATAAGTGCATGCTTCTCATGACTGAAGGTGTAAGTTTGGTGAAACTCTATTTTTCAATAAATATTATTTTTTCCATTACCTTTCAATTATTATTCATAAACTGTTCCCAAGAGAAGTTATATTGCAACAGTCTAATTCAACAAAAGAATTTATATCTCGGATAGCTTCACTATAAGCTGGCTTTGTGCAATTGTAACTATATATATATAAAGCTTGCTTTACCAATCTCCAAGAACACCCACAGATTCATAATCGCACACTCAATCACTACTGTACTTACATAAATATTGCGCAGTCGTCGCAAGCAAAAACAGAGCAGGTTTACACAAATTGCTGCAACCAGCAAGGCGATAAATATGGCGATGATTGTTCCGGGAGCCAAGGGCGTCCAATCGTGAATGCTTTGCCCTGTGCACATAATGAAGTTAATTTTACAAAGGTCCAGACAAATATTATGCAACATTTCATATGATAGCAAACACTGAATACTAAGCCTTTATGGAAGCCTGTTGCCTGCAGGCAGGAAAATAGAAAAGACAACTATTATTACTTCCACAGCTTTGGTTTTGAGTATAAGGTGTGCCACCAAGTACCTATAACCAACATTCAATCATAGGCAATGCTGTGATTTTAGATCAGTTCCGGTTTCACTTTAGTCTTTTCTCTAAGGCAAGCATTCTATATCCTTTTTGCCTGATTACATATTTCTCCAGTGTTTGAGAACAAATAGAGCTTCCAATCCTGACTGTCCACAGGCACTCTTCAATTCACTTTTAACATTGATGATAAGGGTGGGACTCGAATACCCAAGTCACTTATTGGTTTACAGCAAGCAATTGTTTAGATAATAGGAGGCAATCAGGTATGTTAAAAATAAATATTTGCATATTATTACAGAATAATTAATGCAGCAGCTTTTTGCAGTGTATAGCATTTCATGCAGCCTGGATAAGAAAGAACAATTTCTTGTGCGACACCTGTTGAAAGAATTTCTCATTGATATTGTGTTGAAAAAAAAAAAAGCTCTTAAATTTAGACTTCTACCCTGTTGAAAGAGAATTTTCGTTTATTTACGCCTACACTTTCAATATGTGATACTGTTTTCGTAAGTTGAGTTAAACGTCAAGCTGAAAACAATTAATATATGCATACATTCAAGCACAACCTGCATTTGAAGTCTATAGTTCTAGAGGTTGTTGAAGATGCGTAGCTCTTTGTAAAAATCCAGTATTACACATTATTACTGTTTAGAGTAAAAATCCAGTATTACAAGTTCTATAATCTTGTTAAAGCACTCAATACACCAAATTAAATACACACTCATGTCTCTTTGGAAAAAAAAAAAAAACTGTTTGAATGTTCTTGCTCAGGGTCCAGGCACAGCGTACTACTATCCAGACGGCTAGAGCAGCAAATTTGCCACAGATACGGAAACTCGCCATGACAGCAAGTGATAAACAAAAGGCCGTTGAACACCAACTGAAGCCCCCTTTCACCACTCTTAAACAGAGCATGAATGCTCTGGTAAATGAACATGGCCCTCACTCGATCATAGCATGTCACGGTAATTTTTAGGTTCGTAATGAAAATGGTTCAAGTCAGGCATCTCAAAACACATTCTACACGGTCTTCAAGTGCAACTCATGGTGTGAATGGAATGTCTGTAAACTCCCCGCAATCGATTGCAGCAAATTAACTACACTTCTCAGGACACCAAGTATAACTTCTCAAAACATATTACTGATTTCTTTGCTGCTTAATGCCTAAGCTTTACTTTCTTTAGAAAGTGTAGTTAAACTGCAAGTTGTCTGAAACACCTCATATAAGCAATCATGCTAGAATTAGGTTACGTGTGTAGCCAGATACTTGTTATGTGTGTAGCCAGAGACTTAAAAAGAAGAGAAAACAACACAAATGGCCGCCTTTGTTCATAATTCATCCTTACTTATAAGCTCTTCAATAGGTTGAATATTTATAAACTGACAGGCATAGTATAAGTTGAAAACGTACAGCACATTCTCAATTTCATTGTTCACACCTGCAAGCATGCTAAATGTGAAAATGCCGCACATTTAAAATTCTGGGCTGCCAAGATAACTAATGGTGCCCATTAAAGTACACCGAAGTTAAATTTACCTAGAAGGTGGTGACACAATCGTGCTTTTCTACTTGTTATACTGAAGCATGAAAGAAAGAAAGCAATCATTTTTGTTAACGAACAAGTCAGAGAGCTCAACAGAAGCTTGGCATGCTAATCTATCAATGCTGTCATGGCACAGCTGTGTATTGAGTTTACAACTATGATGTAAAGAAGACTTACAATGCTTCTCAAATTCCTCATCGAAAGCTTGTGCCAGGTTGAGGAGAACGCTTAAGCATACATATTCAACCAACAACTTCAAGAAAGGATTCATGCTGGCTTCAAAGTGACAACAGCTGCACATGCAGGCCTGCAAGCCAAAAAAAAGCAACCATTTCAAGTTTTCTGACAATATTTATTGATGAGCACAACAGAGGTATAATACATATAATAGTTACTGTGTTGGTTGTTTCTACACAATACAGAAAAAAAAGGGCCTGCCACAACTAGCATAATGGTAGTTTGATGTTTACTTTCTCAAAAACGCATTATTTCATGAGAAATCTAAACACACTATCACTTTCATCAATGAAATATTAGTACTTGTTTTTTATAAATCTTTTATTTTACTACACATTTTTCAAATCATTATTTGTGCCAAGTGAGCTTGCAAGGCATACGCACATGAAAGCTACGCATCATTGAATACGTGTGTGTTAGCAATTAAAAAAAGTTTGAGTTAAGTGGTCATTTTTGTGTTTACATTTTTTGCATAAGTAATATTGACCACTTCAAGTAGTTGAGCTCCGGTATTGAATACAAAATTTGTCATAGCTAATCAACAATAAGTCTGTGTTGTCTGAAAAAAAAGAAACACCAACTAGAATATATAGCCATGCATTACACCTAACATGTCCAACAAAATTATTTCTACAAAAAGGTAATAACACATGCACTATACCACAACCAGTTTATTAGATAACAGACTTTGTAAATATGAATCATTTGAACTCTCCATATATATATATATATATATATATATATATATATATATATATATGACATTCAGATAAATATTCTCGTAATAGAACGAAACGTTAAAGTAAATTGTATGTTAAATGTTTACAACATAGACGCTTCTACGAAAAAGTATGCTTTGGAAAATTATTTTGTACATACTGACCTTATTGCAAGTTATATGGTGTGTGACATTTATTGTAAATTAGCCTACAAAATGAGGAATGTCGTAGTGGGCAATTCCAGATTAATTTTGACTACCTTAAGTTCTTTGACATGCACCCATGTACAATTTTACGGGTGCTCTTGCATTTTGCTCCTATTAAAACGCAGCCGCCATGGCCAGGAATGGAACCATGCGTACAGCAGGACCTGTGCAAAGCTACCATGATGAATAATTTAAAGGTCCAGATGGAGGACCTAGTATTTAAAAGGTGTTTGCATGCATTGCAGGTGAGGTATTCAGCTCAACTATTTATACTGAATATCTTGAACATGCACATTAACTTCATAAATCCAAGTATCCGGATATGGCCTGTTTTCCAGGCACTAAATTTTCTTATTTTTCCTGTTAAAGTGAACGGATAGCAGGTTTGATGGATGTTGGTTTATGCAAGATAGCGCACAGCTGCACAGCAACAATGGGACTGTTTGTGCACAACGCTTAATAATGCGGGCAGGACTCGAGGTGGCGCATTTGCAGAGCCAATTGGGAAGGGCGAGAGGGTGCGACCACATGGCCCGATCATGTTTTCATCACCAAACTCATTTCCCCTGGGCCAAGTATGTGCGCTGTCATCACAATTTTGTTCTTCAAGTGATAAACGAACATTCAAACTAATCACCAAAAGATGAAGCACACGCAGGTACCACGACTCCTGTGGCCGGGCTGAAACGTACGGCTCTCCGGTGAATGTGAAACAGCCAGTTGTAAACAGGCGCTGTGTATATGCGCGTAGACATAGCATTGCCGAGAACAGCTAGGCATTAGGAAAACAAGCTTAAGATTACATGTTTTCACAACGAATGTGTCCTAGGTCTACCCTTAGCTGTGCGGCGTCACACAGGAGCAGAACCAGGCCATATGACCTGGAGAGGAGCGTTGATCAAGGCATCGGTCTGCGCCATGCCCGTAACATGACCAGCGCGACAGGTGAAGCGCGGACCAACCAGATGCGCCTCCGAAAGAAGGCAATGGACTCCGCAGGCCCCGAGCGATAACGGGAGCTCGCACTGGTGCGGCAGACGACGTCGAGCAACAAACGCGAGCTTCGACAGCAGGCAACGCGAGCCAGCGAGCGGCATCGATTAGAAGGAAGCGCCAAGGAAACGGAGTCCATCACAGCGAAACACGCAAGAACCGCAGCTTAAACAAATAAAACATACACCACGGACCGCGGGAAAAACACGTCGCCCCGCCGCGGTGGTCTAGTGGCTAAGGTACTCGGCTGCTGACCCGCAGGGCGCGGGTTCAAATCCCGGCTGCGGCGGCTGCATTTCCGATGGAGGCGGAAATATTGTAGGCCCGTGTGCTCAGATTTGGGTGCACGTTAAAGAACCCCAGGTGGTCGAAATTTCCGGAGCCCTCCACTACGGCGTCTCTCATAATCATATAGTGGTTTTGGGACGTTAAACCCCACATATCAATCAATCAAAAACACGTCAGAAGACCGAAGGAGCCACAGCTCCACTGTTTCGTCAAATTTTCCTTGGTGGAACTGGTTTTGTTTGAAAGAGTGATTCTTCAAGACGTGATCGAGGAGCAACAGCTGAAGCGACGAATTCAATCAGTTCTGCAGTCGAATTACGGCTGCACTGCTTTCCAAGCATACCTTTTCCCCAAGTTTCTTTTAACCCGCACATGAACTCCCCAAAATAAAATCCCCACCTGAGCTTGCAAGTCGCACCAAAGAAATAATAAAAAAAGTGGCATACAGCCTTTCACAGTTCCCGAATGGCTACGCCTTTCTTACCGCAGCTCACGGAGGAAGGAAAGGTTCCTTCCTCCGTGCCGCAGCTTATGTAAAACACAAACACCTAACAGCGCATAAGTAATTTCATGATTACCTTTATTTAGCGTCCTTCAGTTTCTTCAACGAAAAGAATATAATGCTTGACTGTTCACTGCGACTGCGCGCGAGATTACGATATAACAAAACGGATGGGCTTTACGTGCAGACGTGATAGCCAGTCACCGCACTCTGTATGGTCTGCCCACTGGCAGGTGTTCTGTGGTCTACCTATTATATTCACTGACGATCGCTTACGACATGCACAGCTAGACGTAAACACGCGCCGTCGTTTTCTCACGCCTCCTGCGTGCCTAACCAACGCCTCCTCTAGGAAGATGCCTGCCGCATGAAAAAAAAAAAAAAAAAAAAAAAACAGCTGTCACATCCATTCTCTCCTTCATTTTGAAAATGTTCTCGGTCGCTAGCGTCACTTGTGGCGGACGGTGCAACAACGCAACATTTTTGCATAGCCTCCGAAACAGTGGTGCACAGTTGCAGGTCTCGAACAACTCTCGACTGACGCGCCCATATGGGCCGCAGATGAAAAACGCTTAGTTGGTACACGGCCGGACTCGACGCTCCTTCCGCACGCTCCACCGGAGAAGGAGTCGAGTCCGGCCGTGGCTGGTACCGCCCATTGCCGTGATGATAGTGTCGGTCGCGAGCGCCACCGCGCAAAGCTTGTTTAAAACTGAAGGCAGGCCAACTCCACTGGGAGCACGAGCCATTCCTCAGGCATCTTTCTAGAGGAGGCGTTGGCCTAACCAACGCCTAACCAGGAGTGTGGCAGCTTGGGCTAGTTGGTATGGCATGACGGTAGTTATAGCGCGAGAACAAAACGACGACCGTCCTTCTTGTCTCTGTGTCGTCGTTTTGTTCTCGCGCTATAACTATCGTCATGCCCAACCAGGGTCGAGAAAGAGCTATTCTAGGGATATTTGGGACAAAAGCAATATATTCTCTTGAGGCACGTTACGATAACGGTACCTGAAGTCCCTAGTAGCGCACGGAACAATTGCCCGAACACTTTGTTCTTCCCCGTTTCCACGGGAGTGGGGGTGAGGGTCAAAGTGCCCTCCCCCCTCGTTTCAATATTCCATGACCGACATACATATGGCTAATTAAAAGGGAAAAAAGACGTCTTAAGCTAGTAAACGGGCTCACTGTTGTCGAACTTCGTGGGTCTCACGAGAATTGAAAACTGTATGGCTAGCTGCCAGGCATGACAGCTGCAGTCAAGGCACACACACACTGCACAGTAGCATGGCTGCTAACACACAATTGGCAAATGAAACAGAGGTGCCAGTTACAAGGAGGAGGCAAAAAGGCTTCCGTCATATGTATACGAGGCACATGTAGTAGAATGCTGTAAAAATATTTGCAGAAACTTCCAAATTTTGATTACAGCATGACAGATTTACGCCTCACTCTCAACGCACAGATAGTCGGAACTTTTTCTCTTCTCCATATCCAGACATTGATCAAGGTCAATAGTCGGAGAGCTTCCTTCTAAATTGCAGTTACTGGAGGCCGTTCAGGAAACTTGCATGCAGACAACCTTTCTCTGTAGAGGTTGTAAAGAAATGTTTGCCTCTATTGCATGTCACAATTATTGTAGGCATAACTAAAATGTGCATATATACATTATACTGCCAGTTTTGTAGTTTACATCGATAACATTTGACACCGATTTTGTGCTTGTGTATGTAAGATACTGAACAGAAGAAGTGCAGTCAATGTTGATTGATTGATATATGGGGTTTAACGTCCCAAAACCACTATATGATTATGAGAGACGCCGTAGTGGAGGGCTCCGGAAATTTAGACCACCTGGGGTTCTTTAACGTGCACCCAAATCTGAGCACACGGGCCTACAACATTTCCGCCTCCATCGGAAATGCAGCCGCCGCAGCCGGGATTCGAACCCGCGCCCTGCGGGTGCAGTCAATGTAGCGAATACGCTGACTGCAAAGGCTGCCCTAGTACACTTGGTGCTAGCAAAATGTAGGCATTTATTTTTGCCCGACTACATTTCTGTTCACAAACAGAAGATCCTGGTGGTAACAAACCACTCACAAAACACAGAAGAAAAAGAAATAAAGTTGCCTCAACCTTGCCCATTCTGGCCACAAGGATACAAACACATTGCCAAAGGGCGGCACTCGGCCACACATGTGCTCTTTCTAGAATTTCTGCCAGCCTAGCATAACATAGCACTAGACGAAGCCTGCTTACGCATGCATCAACCTTCCTAAGCCACTTTCAGAGCCAATGTGCCCATTTTGAATAAGTTTTTGGCTAATGCCAATACAAAGATTAAATGCATATATGACAGCATCTAGGATATTCTGACCGAATTTCTTTCAAGATTCAGAGCTTCATTACAAAATACAGGCAAGATATCCTTTTAGAATGAAGTTCCTTGGACTCTTAAGTCCAATTCATTGAGTTGTTTAATTAACTCTACCAATTCATAAATGATAATTTTAGGATATACTAATACGTATTTAGAAGAGCTCAGAGAGTGCCAAGAAACAGCAAACAAGCTTGTTTGTCTAATGCTATTTTTTATGCAATTTGTTTTAGAAATTGGGAAAAACCTGTAAAGTAAAACGATAATTTGACTTCTCTACACCTTTGTCCGTGTGAAGTGCAAAGGACTTGCTCCTGGTTTCCCAAAAATAAAACCTATGTTTGATTAGTAGAACAAGGTGACAAGTACCTTTCTTTTTATCAGCATATCTCCAAATTATTATTTAAAATCGACAAGGTGTATATGTTGAGAAACTTCACAAAAAAATCATTTTTGGCTCATGCTCAAGCCAACATGCATATTGCTGTTTACTCACTGGAGGGCATAGGTCAGCCAACTCATTCGTCAGTCAACCAATCAGACCCTACTCAGACCAAGCAAAAATCATGATGGGAGCTGACAGCTGGAAACACGTGGTGGGATAATCAGGTGAACAGTTGGAAGTGCCTCAGACAGGCTGACCGACATTTCGATGGGTGGACCCATCTTTTTCAAAGGTGCCTTGTCATCCTTGGCATGTTAGCTTGAAGGGGGTTAGTAGTGAGGTCATGTCCTGGTAGTAGTGCAACCCGCAAGTCTGAGTCGATAAGTCCGAGTACGACAGAGCCCTTAGCGCAAAATATAGTTGAGTGAGCCAGAGTAAGCTCTACGTTTTTGCCAACTTATGTTACTATCAGCTCAACTCGGCATTAATATCAGCCTTCTGTCAGCACACATTTTACTTGCGTCTGCTAACACGCTTCAATGTGCAAGTGCTCATATGCCAGCTCAATATTTATTGATCAAATGCATAAGCTACAAGAGAGGGAGGAGAATGGATAGTGCCTTGACTCCTTCCCCTTCCCCCCCGCAAACTCTTTCACAGGAATTTCTCGATAAATATATCATGTGCAAGCCGTCTGTTCAAAAAATAGGTCTCTACCGTATTGCAACTAGTGACAAATGGTACAGTTTAAACTCAATTTGACCAAATCTGGATTTAAACTGGAGTTAAATCTGGAACATTGTAAAATCAAGAGAGCAACAAACTTCGTTCAGGGCCTTGTGAAATCATGAGCCTTGTGAAAGAGCTCATGATTTTTTACTAGTGTGAGCTTCGCGAGCAGCAGGAGTCGACAATTTTCGTAGCTGGCCGGCGAAATTAACTGCGTCTTCGACACCTCCATGTGCCTTAGCAAATTGCTTCTGAAGGTCGACGGAAATTATCACCTGGCTTACTGTCGTCAGGGGAGCTTCAACAGTATCCAGATCATTTGCATCTTTTGACTATCTTTGTGCACCCAAAACAAGCTCCGCTATTTTCTCTTCATTCAGGACTCCTGTTGTGCCAGTCTCCGTGTTGGAATTCATGAAGTTGTCAAAGTTCTGGTCTGCGGCCACTTTGTCACGCCAAGAAAACGCAGTTTGTAGTTTGTGCAGTTTTGGTTGGTAGCTTTGTAAGAAAAAAAAAAATGCGACAATACCTCCACTGCATTGATCACACCGCTCCTACACTGGCAGCACACTATCGAAGATTGTAGACGCCATAACTTTTGAAAAACCTTTTTTTTTAATGCATATCTTCTCTTGGAATCCCTCATTACAGTCATGGACTCTCAGTCAATGGAAATCTGTTTAACTAAACTGGAGCTTAATTGGAACAACTCCCTCTGATATGATTGGTTTCACACTTGAATGGTACCCACCCAGTTCACCTCTCAGTTAACAGAGCTTCTATTAAATGGAACACATTTTATCGGTTCCTTCAGTTTCCGTTTAATGAGAGTCTAATACTGGGTGTAGTGGCGAAGTTTTCTTATTTCAAATTCGCATAAGCACTAAGCCTAAAGCCAACTGTGAGGGGAATTGGAATTTGTTCGTTAAAATAGAAACTTCGTAAAATAAAATTTCATAAAATTAAGTTTCAACTGTACTATTTGAAAAAATGAGATCAAACGGTGCAAAGTAGAGACCAATTATGTGAAACATTCATATCAAAGAGCACTGGCACCATAGTTGAAAAAGGTAATTTATGCTGACGGACATCTAAATAGACTCTCTCAAACTTGGATTGAGTCACGAGTCTGAGTGAATCCAAATGAGTAACATTTTGACGAGTCAAAGATTGAGTTAGTCCTGTTCAGGAAAACATTGTTGAGTCTGAGTCTGAATGAGCCCTAATCACAAGATATATATACAGTTCTTGAGTGAGTCTGTGTGACGTGACTCACGCCAGAGCGAACCACCAAGCAAGAAGAAATACTACAATGTTTAAACTGCTGTTTCATCACAAATTTCAGACACCATACATTCAGAGCAGCTCATGGTCATGCATACATTGCTGACTTTGTGCAAATTCAAAGACTTCATTTATACAAAATAACAGTGACTAACACCTTTATTAATTCAGGCAAAGTCGGAATGAAATGGCACACAGGACAACATGATCATTTACAATGTGAGACGTAAAATAGGACATACTATAAGTATCAAATAAATACAGACAGGCACATTTCATCAGGCGAAATAGCCTTGTGTATCACAGTATAAAAGAAGGCACAAGAAAGGACACTCATGTTTACAAGCTTATCGTGATGCTCGAGCATAAAGAGGGCAGCAAATGTTGCTCACTCAAATGCAGCAGTTAAACATTCTGTCCCAACAAACAGGCAAATGCAGTGCAGCTTATACCTGCAGAAACTAAGAGCATGAGAGCATAATATTGCAGTTTCTAAAGGAGCCAAAGAGGCGGTTCAATTTTATGGTTGACAATGTGATTTAAATTGTGCATATTCATTGAAAACTCGCATATATCATGCATACAAGCACTTCAACAAGGAAGCTAGAGCAATAATAACTTACTGTACTGGAAGTACTGATCTTATCTCTTGAGATTCTTATGAAACTTATGTAAAAGCTTAGGACTTGTGAGCACGCATTTGAGTCTCCCTTAGGTACTACCCGATATATGAAATTCGTGAATATTCACCTACAAGAAACTGTGTTCTGCAGTGACTTGGTTTTCGAAGAGCTCGCTTTGCCAGAAAAAATGGGAAGGCTAGTTTGTCACCAATCATGCGCTGGCAAAGTTATTAGCTTTTCAGAAACCGAATTGTTACTCACAATGAACTCAAGTTTTCTTCAAACTCTTTTTACACAGTGCAAAAGATAATTATGAAATGTAAGACAAATAAAACAAAAGGTACAGACCGATCATTTCTGTGCTTGTCTTTTTTTTTTCCTGCATTGCACCATTGCATTTTGCACAGTATGAACACCTTTCATTAAAATTTTTATGCAGCATTAAAAAAAGCTGTTGTTTACAAGTGCGAGTTAAAACAATCACACCAATAGCTCAGATATTTATTTCTGCGAAATTTGAGTGTGGCCATTTAAGTGTTATGATTTTGTGATATCTAAGACATATTATTTGAGGCAGACAACTAGATATGTCTACACAGCAGCAATGGGCTTTTTATTTGGCAGCATGACCAGCATGGTCCTCTTGGCAGAGGCACTTGGTAGCTGCTCAATTGGTGAGCATGCGTAGATTTTGGCGCTGGCAATTATGAGCCCTGGCAGGGCGTTTAGCAGCAGAAGCAAATGAAGCACTTCCTCTCATCAAGCTGCTCATAGTGAAAATAACACTGTGTTATTGTAGCTGGCACAGGCAATATCATTCGATAATAGAAGATGGCATGATAATTTGGAGACCCATGCCAAGATGATGTGTGTTAACACTGCGCTGTGCTTCCTTGATCACTACTCTTTCACTGCTTGCCCTCTCATGCCACTTAATGAATGATTAAATGCGTCCTCTTACACTGGGCACCTTTTGTTTACATGATCTAACACTTGTCACAACCTAAATAAGAACACTGCAACATTTGTTTCTTGCCAAGTCCTTCTCTTATGTTGTCACAAGTGATAAATAAATAAAGTAAAATAAAATGACAAAGCATGGAATTGGAATGTACTCAACGCAATAAACTCAATGTCACAGAAGCTTTGTGGAGGATAATGAGAAACAGATGAAAAGAACTATGACAGGTGCACTGTATTTTACACATTGGTATAATACATGTGTTGTCATGAGTACTCGGGATATAGTGTACCGTATTTATAGGGATACTATGGCATAGCATACATAAAACAGAGTGCCTCCGAATGACAAAAAATAAAACATCAGTCTACACCGCTTTGGTCACTTCAAAAGCAGATTCTATTGTGCAATAAAAAGAGCACTATAGTATGCAATGAGTTGCCGTAAGCACTTTACCTTCTCCATCGAAATCATGATGCCACAGCTCTTGATTATTTTCACAATTTTCAATGTTGTGATGGGCCACCTCTGTCGTATTCGTTGCTCATGATTAAACCTTCAAGTTTCCTCACAGAACAAAACTCGTCTTCACCCCACATTTAATGCTATGAGAGCCTATCAATATACCGTACTTTGCAAGAAGTATGAAGCCAAAAATGAAATGCCGACAGATGAACATCATTTCTAGGGCAGACCCGATTCAGCATCCTAAGAGCACGAAGGCACTGCACAGAAGTGTTAGGAACCTGCAGATTGGGTAGACTGATAAAAATGAAAGCCATGTATAAGCCAAATCAAGACTCAGCTAAAAGTCTCTCGTCAACCCCACAAGGCTGCCCAGCCCCAGCCTTTTCAATGCACAGCACACACTATTGCATGTCGTCTACTCTACTCATCCTTCGTGAGCCTCGGCTCTGCTTACACTGACATTGTGCTTGTCTCACTCCATGGCACAGTTTCCACTCACAAGAAAGCCATCACTGCCATAAGGACAGTACTGGAAAAGGCTAGCCTGGTGCTGCACATCACAGACGATACAGCGCCGCTGACAGCACCACTGCAGCAATTACTTTTCCCATACCACATGTCTACCCACATTTAAATACCATATTTATGCCAACACATGCATAAGAATACATGTAAACGTATCATGCGCATTCTCTTCACCTTTGCGTATATATACATATAAATTGTAACACTTTAGGGCTACACTAATGAGTTTAAAAACAATGCCTTTGGTCATTGCAATGTGCCAACCCCGTTTGTGGACATTATGAGTTCACTATCTAAAGTTTTTGAGTGGTCCAACTGGTCACATTGCCTGGATGGTGTCACTGTTCTTCAGCGATGTTTGACTACCAGGATCAGAGCTTGTCAGGCATCCTCTAAGTTTTCTAAGGCACTGGTAGTCAGCTAAATTTTATAGAAAAGTGAACCTATGACCTCATCAACAGGCCATCGTGACGGTTCAACATTTGTATGACTGTCAATCCTCGCTAAGCTATATTACGACTATCTGAAATAGGTTTCAGGGGATACGTTCTGACTGGCATAAGGTGGGGGTGGATCAAACGGCACAGGTGGTGACGAGTACGGAGCAACGAACGGCTGTACCAGTGGTGCCATATTACTACTCTTGTAGGGCAGTCTGGGGTGGTAAGGAAGAGCGGGCTGCTGGTAGTACGGCGGTTGGGGCTGTAATGCTGCCGCAGACTGAGATGCTTCATGTACCAGTGAATGCACTCCCTGGGAAGGCTGCATCCGAACTCCCGATGTCACCGGAGACACAGCTGGCGCTAGTGGCGGTGGAATGTGGGGACTGGTATACTGCATCCACAAAAAGAGAAGAGGTTTGCATGTCACCTGACATGACGTGGGCAATGTTTTCATAACAGCGGATCACTCATGTTATAGGCTTGGAAATTATATTTACCGCAGCAACATGTTCAAAATGTGTGCTACCATGATGCAAAGAAACATAGACAGTGGGGTATCTACATTATTTCCTGTTTCACATTCCTTTTCAAGTCGTTGTAGCCTGGATGGTAATAAAAAGCCTCTACAGTCATATATCTACAATCAACAATCATACTAGCATCTATTCACTACCACGAAAGTCAGAGCGTGATGAAAACACGCTCTGACTTTGACTCTGACTGCTTACAAAACATTCATACGTCCTGTTTTAGAGTACACTAGTATTGTATGGTCCCCTCACCAGAAGGTGTTGTGGACAAAAATTGAGAGAATACAAAAATTAGCAGTCCATTTCATATGCGGTAGATACCGGTGCACACACTCAGTCACAGCTTTGTTAAAGTACTGTGAGCTTGAGTCTTTGGAATATCGTAGGCGAAAGCATCGCCTCAAATTTCTTTTTAAGATTGTAACCGGGCAAACAAAAATAAATAAGGATTTATATATTCAGCCCCCTGAAAGGCGATGTGATCGTCTTAATAATAGTAGAGCAATTCAACCTTATTTCACACGCACGAATGCTTTCCGCCACTCCTTTTTCCCAGGCACAATAGATATGTGGAATAGTTTACCCAATGCGGTTATGCAACAAACAACATCAGTGGATTTTGAAAATGCATTGGACAGTTTTCTTTGTAGTGATGTGTGCTAAATTCTGTTGTGAGCATTTATTTGTTGATTTTTATGTGTGTAGTCACTGTTGTTTATTTCTTTTTTTATTGTTGGTTATTCATCTCGTACTTATATGTGCTTTTGAATTTTTCTTTTTTGTGCGAACGTTATGTACTTTCTGACATTCTTCCTGTAATGACACCAAGCACGGGGTTGACAGTATCAAATAAATAAATTAAAAAAACAGTCCGATGTGCTGTTTGCATTTTTTTTCCATCTCCCTTTGTACATTATTGGCAAGGATAGCTGGAAAAAAGCTGCGTTTTTGCAGCTTGACTAACCCCACTGCCCCTCGGGAGAACAATGACAGCAGCAAACAGTGGCGCTGGAGTTTACAAACTGTATGTGTATAAGATAGGTACATTTGTAAATGCATAGTCAACCAAGACCTATGAATGTTTAGAGTAAAATTCGCAATGTCCGCAAAAGTAAAACTACATAAACACACATTTGTGAGCAATTTCACATTGAAGTAAAGCAGTGCATTCAATACACCATCTTAGATATAAGATATACTGCTTTCTGATAGACGACGCAAAGCTTTGTGTGTTAAATTCAGCTCTTCTAAAAGGACCTCAAGACGGTTTTGGCAATTTTGTACAAACACATTGGGCAGGTAGACGAAGTCCCAACGTTTACTTAGAGACCAATCTGAGCTCTGTACATCAACTGTGTAATTTCTTACAATGCTTTAAAGCTGTGAATCGCTGCAGATCGGCGCAGATTCTTGCGACCCAGCCAAACGTGTTTTCAACTGCCAATTCACCGAGCATTGGCCAGAGCATTGGCAAGAGCACGTCAGCAGCCACGTGAACGGGGCTGCTGATCTGATTGGCTGTCATGGGCTGCAAAATGCGCGAAAGTAAGATCGGCTGGTAGGGTGGTGGTTGATTGATTGACATGTGGGGTTCAACGTCCCAAAACCACCATATCATTATGAGAGACACCGTAGTGGAGGGCTCCGAAAATTTCGACCACCTGGGGTTCTTTAATGTGCACCCAAACCTAATCACACAGGCCTACAGCATTTTTGCCTCCATCCAAAATGCAGCCGCCGCACTTGGGATTCGATACCGCGTCCTGCAAGTCAGCAGCCGAGTACCTTAGCCACTAGACCACCGGGGCGGGGCAGGGTGGCAGTGCCTGTCGCAGCAGATATGAACTACTCAGCGATCTTTGTCTCTGTTGCTAGACGGCGTGCGTGCTGCCAGGCGGACTATATGACGGCCCCCTGAGACTGTGCGCAACCTGTCGGCATATTTTCGGAGGTCAAGACTGGTAAAAGCTCAGATCCTCGAGCACACTCATAACAGCTCTGCGATCGCCGGCGATGGCAGCCTGCCTCATGAGTTGAGAAGGTCAGGCAGAGGTGAGAAAAAGGTTATGATATAATTGTCCATAGCAGCCTTGGTACACGGCCAGTTACTAAATTTGTGGTGTGAATGGTTTAAGGATGATCAAACCTAAACGCTGAAAAAACTTTAAAAAACCATTTCAGAGTCCCTTCAACACGCTGGCAAAGAATATTACCAGCAGATGGAAATCGCAATTTATTTCAGGTCATGTAATATAAACTTCTTATCTAAAAGGTGTTACTAGGTGGCGGTCATACACTCTAACCTCAATATAACGAATCCGAGCGTACAAAAATTTCAGATTTAACAAACTAGCTTTCACATAAGATGCAACTTCGTTATAATGAGGTCAGGGTGTATAAAGTGTCGCAGTTTTTGGTACTAGATAAATGTGTGTGCATCATGCGGTAAACAGGCAACAGAACGCTACGCAAAGCTTTCACATGCCACCTTGCAAGAAAAATGTTGACGTGAGGGAACTGGTACACCATTCGTCAAAGGGAGTGCAAGTGTTACAATTAAATAATCACTATCGTGTCAATAACACTTTGAATTGAATCTTTGAAGAAGTGTTGCCCAACAACCACATTTAATTAAGGTCAGCAATACCGGTGGTTTATATTGTTTATATTGTATATGTAATTGCATTGCCATGGTTCAACTTCCTTATGCTATAGACGCTTATGCCAGATTTCGGCATAATAGTGGCATTCAAGTAACCAATCTCGTCTTTAAATGAACATCGCAGATAGCTCTTAGAATCAAACCCATAGTTTATTCACATTTACACCATCCCAGAACAAAAGTTTGACTAAAAGATAACAACAAATAGTTGAAACAGACATAATTTTGATACGTTCAATGACTGTGTCGTAAAAAGAAACGTTTAAGGTTTGTGTAATCACATAAGCGGAAGATCTTGCTAAAATTGGAGATTATGCATCACTGCAATCAATGCATAATTTATTTAAATGCAAGAGGTGGGAAAATGGGACGCCCTCCCTGTAAGAGGTCAAGGCAGTGCCAGATGTCAGATACATCTCTATAATCATAAATAATAACAATTTCTTGAGTTGATATTTCAATTTTGAGATTATATTCCTCCCTGAAATCAGAGAGACATTGCAATAGCACTCTGTGGGTGTTCGCTAGCACGCAACGCTCAACGTACAAAAATATCAGCACATTCTGCCAAAGTAAGGACACCTGCTTGCTCTCTCATTTGCACCATAGCCAAAAAATGCTTAAAGGTCCTCTTTAATGGCATTATTCCAATAAACCAGACAGAACAAACCAGCAAACACTGAACTGTTTATATACTGCCCCCCTTGTTTAATGCCACTGTTTTTCACCACAACTAATGACAATAACATAACTGACATGATCACTTAATTGGCATTAGAGGGACACTAAAGGCATCAAGACAGTTGACATAAGAGTGAAAGCTCAATATATGACGTTTAAAACGGCAATATTATCAATAGCAGTGACCTAATTAGCAAGAGATTAAGCTTAATGTATCACATGATGTGTGCAATGAGTTGGAATTTGGAAAATAATCCCGACGATGTGAGAGCGTCCGGCTGCAATTAATCACTAGTAACCAAACTAGCTGCAATAAAAAAAATTTTCTGTGCATCAAATACTGCTTGTCCATTTATGTTTGATTTATAGAAAAAAGAACCGTCTAGCATTACCATGGGGAACTGCGCAAGTGGTTCAAAAATGCAGTTTTCGGCTGGTTAGACTGGATAAGTGGTGCCATCTAGCAGAGCTCAGTTAAACCAAGCAAGCAGAACCATGGTCTCAGAGATGACAGAAAATTGTTCAATGGCCGTCGTTCCTACTGCAACTCCCGCAACATTCGCTCTGCTGCTATTGTGACTGCGGCCATTTAGTAAAAGTGGGAAACGTTGGGGTATGATAACAGCGACGTCCGATAAGTCCACTTTCAAACGGGAGATTCAAAGTTCAATAACACAATGCAGACCATTAAAATGCAATTTTATTTCAAAATAAGCGCATCCTTGGCACAAAAGTTGCACTATGAGGTTTCTGGACGACTATTTCAACAATAAACATCAACTTAATCTTTGCCTTTAGTGTTTCTTTAAGCATTCTTGCCCTTCTCCCACATCTTGTGCTTAACTATACGTTCTGTACACTATATCCTGTTTAACAGTCTAACCAAAGCAAAAAAGCTTGCATTGTCACTTGTAGGAGTGTGTCAGGCTTTAAGACACATAATGTCACACTACTTACTTGCATGCTGTGTTTTCGTCGAATCCAATAGCAACACAAGATAACTAAGCTTGCTGCGATCATCAACACGGCAGCAATCATAAAGATCATTCCAGGAGGCAACCTTGGAGGGGTGTGTATGCGGTGCCCTGTAAGTGTATTGTACAAAGTGTACATTTTAAAAACAGCGCACCACATTTCAAACATGCCACACTTTTTGTGCAGCTTCAATAATACTTTAGGAAATGGTAGATTGTTAATGGACAGTATTGCTTTCGGTTACCCTCGGGTGAACAAGGCCTCATGGCTATGCCTTTGGGGAACTGGTCAGTTGAACGAAGTTACACAAATGTACACATTCACACCCAAGAAAGTTATACTTCAAATAATTTTACAGTGCTCCATGGATTCAAAAATAGATATCTTTAGAAAGTTAGCCTTTCATGAAACCTAAGCTAACAAGAAAAAAAATTGACACTCATTACATGACTGCATGGTACAATAATATAAATCGCACATGGTCTTTAATCACGCAGTCAGTGTGCCTACCGCAAAAATTTAAAAGTTTGCGTGACAAGTTTAAGCTAGACAGCTATATTAACAGATGTTGTAAAGATAGAAGTCCACAGTGAAATCATAGTAAGTGAAAGGTTGTCATGAAACCTAACTGAAACTGTCTTGTCCTGTTATTATGTGGCACAGTGTGAACACGCTTCTTTATGGAAAACATGCATGATGGTTTTACAACCTTTGTATTCTGCAGGCTTTCTTGAAGGCCTACACACACAATTTTAAAGGGGAGTCTTTTGTTATGAAAGACGTCAATTCTACCATTTATTACACCCTGTTTTACAACATATTTAACAAATCTTTCAAATGCAGCTTATGCAGTGGAGGGATCGGGGTAATGTTTTCAAGATTTAGTGCGGCTAATTAAGCAGGTGCAATCACTGAAAAAAATATTCCAAGCAGCTCAGGATGACTGCTGAAAATACGGCATTGGTCTCATTCTTGTGACAAAAGTCTTTTTGTTCTTTGATACAGTTCATGTGAAACAATGAGCAAGCCACGTGTTGCAGACAGAACGCTGTTCAGGAGAACTTTGCTACGACATTTAGAATTTTTGCAAGTACAAAACCTAATGATATCGGAAGTCATGGAATACTTCTTTTGCCACCTTATTATGTGTTTATGTGTTATACCCCTTTACTCGTCTATATGACAGTATTAGACCCCCCCCCCCCCCCTTTACAGGTACTAAAAACTTCAGACAAAGCACAATAAAACCCCACATAAAGATGTGTTTAATTCTCATAAATTATGATGAGACTTGAGAATCGCCATCTGAATTTGGCACAATGTAGCTAGCCTAAATGTTACAAATAATATGGAAAGAGAACTTACATTTCTCAAAGTCGTCATCAGAACACACCAGACTGAGAAAAAAAGTGAGGCAGACACACTCCACAAGACGCTTGACAGAAGGATCCATGCTGGTTTCAAGGTGACAGCAGCTACTTCACGATGGCCTACACACAGGTAGAACTAAAACAACTGTTTGCAGTTTGATCATTATAGACTAAACAATCACTTCAGCAACAACACTCATATATGAGTCCTAACTTGCTTAATACAAATAGATCATCAACAATCTCAACCCTAGGACTGTAATATATTTACCGAAAATGGTTTGCTCTGGTAACTATGCTGCGAATCCATCATGAGGCTATTGCTTCACTGTCATTCTGTAATGTTCCATTACTGCACAGTTAAAACATTTCAACTGAAAAGAGACAGCATATCAACCTTAAAGAAGCACTGACATCAAATTTCAAGATCGAGATGTGCCCATCATTCGATCGCTTCGTATGCATAGGTCTTCTTGGCTAAATTTGAATGACATAACTGGCAGTAGGAGGCCCCTTCTTGAGGCTGGGGCTAAAGGAGAAGGGTAGAACGAGTTGGCGCTACTTAACCTAGGCGGCAGAAAACGCGTGGGGGGCTTTAGTCTACATCATCAGACACGCAGCTGGACTGACTGCACGTGCGCTCCTAGCAGACGAAATGTCAGTGTGCGTGACGTCACCATTTTTTGTGAAAGTATCATCAGCTGTGCAGCGACCTCGACCTGGCCGCGAGGTAGCACTGACAGCATGACAATTTGGAGGGCTTTCGATCCATTTTGAACCACGTTCGATAGCGCATATATTAATCAATATTAGAGATATTCATTCGTACCTCAGATGCGCTTTAGGTCGCAAATCGCTACTAGGGCGTCGATAGCTACTTATTGGCGCAAAAATCTTGACACGAGTAAATTTGGTGTCAGTGCTCCTTTAAGGAAGTCGCACGGTACCTTACACATTTGCCAAAGACGATCTTAAAACAAAATAAATTGTCATTTTTTTTTCTGTCAATATAACCACTCTGTTCGTTGAAAGCTTTCTGCATCCTACCAATGTGGTTTTTCACCACCTCCAGGATCAGAGGCCTTGGAGGTTTCCTGTCAAGTGGTTTTGCAGTCCCTTTGACCAAGCGCGCGACTACCTCACGCAAATTAGCCACTTGATGACGTCACCACTGACGTCATGATTTAAGACGGTATCGTGACGTCACAAATTTGGCAACCTGTTGCGTCCTATAAAATGACGTTATCACACGATATTTTCGCGTCACTTGCGTTGACACCGACGGCTGGCCACCTTTAGTGTTTGATGATCGAAACATCTTAGGCTTTCGTTTAAATAAAAAAAAACAAGATTAATAAAACAAGCGAAAGATGCCGGGCGAGTGCATCGGTCCTTTAATGAAAGTTCAAATTTGTACGACCATGTTCACCGCCTAGGCCTCTCACACGTAAAACATCTGCGAAACACGATTCGCTATCACTGGGTTAAAGTGCGAGCCCTCGTACAAGTGGAAAACAATTAGCATTCTTTCATTCAGGAAAAGACAAATCAAGCACTCACCGCGATAGCCCCGTCGTTGCCGGTAGATGTTAATGAAGGAGTTAATTATGTTGTAAACGCACGCATGTAAAAGCACGGCTTGTAGATGTTACTGAACGTTCTCAAGTTGAGGGCTTGAACTCAACCTGATGCCACCTGTTTTACCACCCCATTACAACACAAAAGACAAGTATTTGACAGCGAGCAGCATTTCGTAGTTACCTTGTAGTTCTTTTTTCGGCTTTTCGGGGGGTGGCGAATATGCTTGCCGGCACACTCGATTGTCAGGTGCGCACTACGTACAGATGTGACAAAAAGTTGAGGCACACGCATTGCACACAAAAGTGTTACGGGACACTTCTCTTACACATGGCAATGAAAGGCACCGACGTCACGCACAGCGCAACGGATGTAAACACACACCCGCTCACAGACCCGCCCATCGTGACGTAAAAGTCCCTAGACTTTAAATATAGGTACTTTAGTTGCTTTATTCTCAGAATCGCACACCTTTGCGTCGCTGTATCTCTAGAACAACTCCGAAAGTAGCCGAAAGATTCTCTTATAAATGCTACATTGTACTACAATGGGATGGCTGTATATAGGTGTTCTGTGGTAGTACAGTGTACTTGTAGTGGTAGTACGGCCCGTGCGCCGTCTCTCGTCCCCCCCCCCCCCTCCAACCCACTGTCGCCGCCGCCGACTCGGAACGACCCCCGGGGCCCACGCCGCTGCTGGTCGAAACCGCCTCGGCGCACACCTCTAGACTGTCTTCACTACATTGTAACTACAATGAGATGGTAGTATAAGGTGTCCTGTGGTATACGCGCCGTGCGCCGCCGCCGATCATTTTGCCAGGCTTGCGCCGAGTCCTCGGAACGCCGCCGCCGACTCGGAACGACCCCACGCCGCCGCTGGTCGAAACCTCCTCGGCGCACACCTCCAGTGTCCTTCACATGCAGAGGTCATTGTGCGAAAATTAAAACTCAGATAAGACCTTTATTTGTCCCTGTATTATCAAAGCTCTGTTGTTGATATTAACGATAATAAAATTTACACACTAAAACTCGTCAATATAAAACGATGCATTGTTTCACATTAATCCCCCTTCGATGAGTCACGTACGTTCATGTGTCATATAGCTCCTTTATCGCATACACAAGTTATTAAAACCCCGAATGTGAAAGGCAAGCGTCTGTCCTTGTTAACCACGAAGTTTTAGCTGAGTGTAAAACTACTTCAGATTCTCGTTTAAACGCAAATCGGCAGGCAGACTTGGCCCGGCAGGCTGGCAGCCCCAACGTACGTGGGATTCTACCTCTGCCGCTAGAATGCGTGGTCGCAGGACATCAACAAAGTTGTTTCAATCAATTACTTGAAAAACTCAGTTAAATAAAACCGGTGCAGCCATGGAGGATGATTTAAGTGGTGTCGCGAAAGCAAAGCTGCCATATTCCACAACTACTACCCTATCTGCGACTGCAAAACGATCGCAGCACTGGCCTCTCTAGTGGAGGCCCTCGCGACCAATACTTTAATTGTGCGGTCGTCTGCATGCGTGAGTGTTTGTGTGCGCGCGTATGTAAAAATGCGAAAACTGAAATTCCGGACGGTTGAAGAAGAGGTCGCTCCATCTGGCCCCGCCATTGTACAAAAATGCAATAAAAGTGATACCATTACACGTAATATCGGTTAAGCTGATGCCATAATACGTGTCCATGTAAAGTGCATTCGCATTTGCTTAGACAGACTTCCGTTTTGTTTATGTAGAAACTACCGGCCCCGCCATGGTGGTCTAGTGGCTAAGGCACTCGGCTGCCGACCCGCAGGTCACTGGATCGAATCCGGCTGCGGGCGGCTGCATTTCCGATGGAGGCGGAAATGTTGTAGACCCGTGTGCTCAGATTGGGTGCACATTAAAGAACCCCAGGTGGTCGAAATTTCCGGAGCCCTCCACTACGGCGTCTCTCATAACCATACGGGGGTTTTGGGACGTTAAACCCCACATATAAATCAATGTAGAAACTACCGGGTGTTACACGTACCTTGAACGAAGCTTCGAAAAGAAATCTTTTGCCCAACTGTGCCGATTAGACCAACTGCTGCATGGAATACGCTGAAGATGCAATAAAGCTGTCTCGATGGCGATCTCTCGGTATACTATTCACAAATAATTACGACCCATATTTGACCAGCTGTTGCTGGCGAAAATCACCGATGTAAATGACCAGAGACCTGGACGTACGATTCAAGCGCGGCTCCCAGCTAGGCGCACTGCTGGCTGCTCTTTCACTGACATTTACTGCTGACCACGCAGTGAGCTTTCTCTGACCGTTGCCGGCCACAGACATTCCCAGCCGACCTCTAAAACGCAGAGAGCGGTAAAAGGCGACGGTAAGGAAACCGCGAGTGCCGGCTGAAACGAAACCGCGCGATTTGAGTTGTCCCCTCGATTAATACCTCGCGCGTAACTCGTCGATCTTGGCAGTTCCGTTTCAAAGCAAGAGTTTGGGTTGCCGGCAGTTCTTTGCTGCTTGAAGGCTTTACCACCAGCACGAAGAAGCCTGTACAGAAAGCTTGCATGTGACGTCGTGGACGCAGACTTCTGAATATACTGGCATTCCACGATGGCGGCGTTGATTAGGACAGGTTTGGATGACCTGCTGTCATGTGAAAACGACAAGGCAGGAAAGCCTCTATCCACGAATATAGAACGCATCTGCATGTAATGATTTGATGATATTAATTTTACATCGTAAACATCGCGTCCACTCATGCTGGTACTCCAACGCAACCGTTTCAGTGACGTCGATGCAAGCCACCATCATTATCATCATCATCATCATCATCACCACACACCACCACCACCACCACCATCGTCGTCGTCGTCGTCATCATCATCCATATATGAATTATATGAAACTGGGCCGCGGGCTCCAAGATTTCAGCACCCCAGCCGTACTGACTCACGGTGGTATTTTGGAAGCTGCTACATGAACAGTCGGAACCAGAAAAGAAGTGCACTACATTCTCAATTTCGTGCTATAGACTTCACGTCTGTACAACGATTAGTAAAGACGTTTGGAGCGAAGGTGAAATTGCGAACATTTTCAGCGCTCGGAGCGGTATGCGTTTATTAAGAGTAGCAATTTATCAAGCCATACCACTGAAAGCAGAATTGACTGTGCAGTGTAAACGTCATGCACTAATGCTACGGTGTTTATGAACGGATAATTTTTTTGTGTTATAGCTACATCAACGGTCGTGAAACAATATGTGATACGGCACTGCATGCACGAAAATTTAATTTAAAATTCTTATATGTGGGATACTTCACATATGAGATGTTTACAGTAGAATGTGAAAATACGTAAGTGCGTGCAAGAAGTCCGTCGCACGCAGAACGGCTTGTGACCAAGTCAAAAATACTTATGCTTTTAAATAGCAGTAAACGAGCGCGAGTTACGTGTATCTGTTCAACAGGGCATAAAAAAAAACTATTTAGGAACGCGCACTTCATACTTCATTACGGTAAGGAAACTACAAATAGACACGTTAAAATAAGAGTGCACAAGATAATACAACGAAAGAAAATCCGAACGGTTGGCATGGTCCACACGTAGGGATGGGCAACCAAAGTCCGTCAAGCACCAGGATTCGGCAACGCCGAGTCGAAGAACCTTACACTTTTTAGGTGGGTTCATGTTTGAACCTCGGGGGCATCCTAGGCAGTCGCAAACTCGGCGAAATTCCGCAGTGCCTTATTGCCGTCGACCTTGTAAGCGCTCGGAGTGTACCTCCGTGGACACGTCATGAAGCAGAGCGTCATGAAGAACACCCGCTCCTCAGTGAGATCCTTGGCGATTCGGAACCGGCGGCCGTCCTCCTTGAGTGCCCTCTGCAGGGCCGCGTAGGCGACCTCGACGGCCGGTATCTCCGGGAACACGCTCGCTTTCGCGATCCTGAACGAGGCAAGAATCGCGAGCCATGTATTCCTTCTGGACCCCTCCGTGAGGAAGTTGCCACGGCACTGCCATTCGGGTGCCAGCGCAGACCGTCCTGTCGAGGGACTTGACGAGCTGTAGCGCCATCAAGAACCCGATTCCTCCGTACAGCATGCCTCTCGTACCGTTCCTGTAGTATAACGGTCTTGCGACAGCGCCCATGGTCATAAGCACGCGGTTCAATATGGCAGTCGTACGTCAGGTACGGCTCTGCGGCAACCGATAGGATTAGCGGACAAGCTGCGGTACAGCTTCGACGCCTTCGCATCCGCGAACGCTCTCGCGAACAGCGATCCAGGTAGAGCCGAAGTTCAGCGTTTCATTCTCGGGAAAGTCACCATACATGTCATCTAGAATCCCGGCTCGAAGACCATGTCCTCCGGCCACAGGCGTTTCTGGACGGCCTTGACTTTTTCCATGGCCAAAACTCTGCTACGTTCGTCGAGCCAATAGCAGTTCATCAGCTTATCCGTGGCCTCCACGACTAAGCTGTCGAAGCTCGCGTCGATCAAGGGCCTGTCGTTGCTGACTGCTCTGGAGACGTAGCTCAATACCGAAACGAGAAGGCGGTACGGCTGTTCGACATTTAATTCCGCAGAACAGGGGCCGCACTACCTTGAACGTTTCGGCGTTCCCGTGCACGCCGATGAAGAATTTGGGACCAGCGATCGAAATGTACATCTTCAAGAATAGCCAAGAGAGATGTTTCACGAGCCGTTCATTCCCGAGCTTGGCAAACAGACTGTCGATGGTTCTCAAGTACCCAACGTGCGTCACGAACACCTCGGTGGTCATGGTCGGAGTCAGCGGCAATACTTGTTGAAAGGCGTTCAACCAGCGGGTGGATGAGATGGAAGGCGTATAGTCTTCAATTTTGGCGATCGCGAATAGAGCGGACTCTGGGGTCGGGTCGCCCGAAGCAGCGTAGAGCTGACGCAGAATTTCGGCACCGACGGAATTGGTCTCGTTGATTTCCGCTTCGTCCAGGTCACGCGCTGCATCACCCGCGAAAGATTGGAGCATCTTGGTCCAGGTCTGGGAGAACACGGCGCTCTCTATTACGCTCGTGTGCACCGCGATTGTGAGCAGCTCGAAGCTTGGCGACAAGACGACTCGCCATTCGTCCGAAGAGCCGGGTGAGTCGGAGATGGCGACCGAGAACCAGAAAGAGGCGTCGTAGCTGAATGCCAGCGACAGAAAGAGTGCCAGAGCGTCCACCTTAGGGACCGGCGCGAACGGCCAGATGAGTCCAGTCTCGTTGAGAAAGAGGCAACAACTCGCTCGCGCTATTACCATATCGCCAGTCATCGCCCATGCACGTGTCGTACAAGAGCATCGCCTTACGGCCAACGGGAATCTTGCCGGATCCTTCGTGGAGCGTCTTGTTGAGAGCCTTCATCCAGCCGT